AAAATAAAATAAAAAACCATATAACATACAAAATGTGCAATTACCCAATTGTTCGAACCCCCCCTTTTTTTTCCCCAATTTGTGCAAATAAAGACAAATCATAATTTTGACAGTAAAATTACTAACTTAACAATATTCTATATAATTATATACACACATTGTCTCTCTCTTCGATATATATCCCTTCAATTTCAATTCTCGTGTCTCACATCTACCCTTTATATATACACCCACCAGCCTTATTTTTTATTTCTTTATAGAAGTTTGAGACAACGCTAATTAACTATAGTAAAGAATGGCATGTTGTACTGATGCACAAAGTTAAGTTTTGAAGAAGAAATGTGCAAGTGTAAAAAATTGTAAATAAAAAATAAACAAGTAAAATTGTAAAAAAAAAAAAAAAAAAAAAAAAAACAAGTTCACACAAATGAAATACTAATAGAATTGATCCAAACTTCCTAATATCATTTTGACGTGGCCTCCTATGAATACAAGAAATAATTTTTTTTTTTTAATTTTCTTTCTATTTTTCATATATCCCTTTTTATAATTTATATCTATTTATACCAAAAATTTGTAACTGGTTGCTGATTTTTTGGAGTGGGTCGAGCAATATCTTTGCGGGTTGTGCTTTGTGTTGATGTTATGAAATTTCTCGGGGCTTTCTGGGTGCTCTGTTTTAGAAAATATAGATATATAGAAAAAAAAAAAAAAAAAAAAGTAAAGAGATATATTATATTTTCTTATATTATAGAATGAAAGTTCTGGGAATGGAAGAAATAAATATGTAGAATTTATAGAATTAGAAAATAATATTTATAAGAGAGATTATGTTTCTCTATGTGTGTGTGTGTGTGTGTGTGTGTGTGTGTGTGTACTATGAGTAGGTGATATGGAAACCCAATGGCAAATTCTCATCCAATCTCATTTGGTGAAGTCATGTCACGTTCATTAAACATTTGTAAGATGAGTTTTCAACATTTTATCTTTCCTCACTTTCGCGGTTTGTCTTTCATCTTCAAGATCTCAAGACGTGGGTTTTGTTTATAGGATGAGAATTTTCACCCACAATCTAAATCTGATCTCTGTTCAATCACCGATCTCGAAACGAAAAAGAAAAAATGAAGTGGTTTCTTCAAGCACGGCAATTGATAAGAAAACACAAATGCCACACCAACAAAGATAATATTCAATAAAAAACATATATATATATATATATATATATATATATATATATATATATATATATATATATCACCACAAACCCATTATAAATTATGTCATCTATTTATTTATTATTTAGATACATCAACTTTATTCATGTGAATTATGATTTGGGTGCGTAACGACACTCACCACAATCGAAAGTTGATCAATACAATTTTTGAATTATCTCACATATAATCTAACTCTTTTTGGTAAAAACAATTTGAAACCCATCATCGGATTCCTAAAGGCGAAACTGAAGAACACATTATCACAACCCCTCATTTTTTGTCTCTATATTTTTGGTTTTCTGTTGAATCGCATTGGGTCGCCATTGAGTGGGATACAGTTTGCTTGGCGATGATAATGCCACTTGTCACTAATTTTGATAAATTTTCACAAGTATTTGGCGATCGACTCATGCATAAGACACATCTCCAATTATCAAGAACAAAGTTTGTGTGTTTCTCGACAATGATAAATGTCAAAAGGACTAATTGAGTCCTCAAAGAGACAAAGTATATTTGTGTGTAGTGCGTTTCTTGCCAATGATGAAGGGCATATTGTTTGTGTTTGTATGTTTATTGCCAAATGACAAAGAGTAAAGTATTTGTAGGTGAATGGGCCAGATTGACCCTGGGCTGGCTAGGAGGATAAAAAATGTACTGGCCTCATAATGCCCAGTAAGTATCGTCTAAACCCAGTTAAGATAACCAGTGGCCCTATTGGGTTTAAATTGGTCCATCCCACTCAACCAAGGAAAAGGCTTGATAACGCCTTGACCCATAAACATACATGATGAAGGTACGCCTCCAGTTGAGCGGGGCCAAAGGATATAATCCGGCCCATCAACTCCTAACCTTGGGCACGAATAGAGAGGTTTAAGGCAAATGTAGACCTTTATAAATAGAGGTCGAGAGGTGAAATGAAGGAGATTTGTTTGGAGTGTGTTCTTAATATAAAATCACATTTTATTGCATCTTCAAAGGTTTTTTCAAAATTTGAAATATTTTCTTAAGGTCTTTTGAGAATTTTGGAAAAATTCAATAGAGACACTTTAAAAATTATCAACATTTGTGTATAGAAATTGTAAATAATACAAATTTTTAGTGGGGGCAATTGGTCCACCAGGCGTAATGTTGTTCTGCCACCGATTTGAACCAATATCCATATATATAAATTTTGGGTTAGTATATAAAACACCCTTAAGATTTATTTTTTGTGTAAATAATATCCCTATCATTTATTTTGAGTATATAAGTTTGTAATTTTTTTTTTTAAATATTGCAAACAAGGGCTTATCTGCATTGAACCTTTAGACAAGTACCATTATATAGCTGACGCATGACAATTAATGGTATTAAATACCCAAAATGCCCCTTTGATGTCCCGAAAGTGCCTTTCAACAATCTAGTACGAGCAATTATTTCAAAACTTTAGTCAATCTCTGTTCATAACTTAATCTAAATAATTTAATTTTATTCCTTGTTGCTCCTTTCAACTTTAAAGTTGGGCAGTCGATAAACTATCGCCCAAAAACACTTGCATGAAAGTGGGTCCACGATAGCCTAAGACCCTTTTAGACATATGTTTTCTATAAAAATCTCGTGCCTTCAAAACGATATGGTCATTTTACAATCATTAGGATTTTTACTTTTTTTATTTATTTTTTATTTTTTAATACTTAAAGAAGGACAGTTTAATATTTTCATAGCCTCATTTAGGGCCGAATGACACGAGGACTGCCCCAAAAATGAATGTTTTGGGATTTTGAGAACCTATAAGGAGTTATACGTCCTGCATGCATATTATAAGAACCAATTGTACACCACTTTTATTAATTTTTTTTTTATTTTTTATATTTAAAGTCACAAACAGATCATATTTTATTTTAATAATACCAAACTCACATACACTCACTTTGCTCATTTAGAGAGTCGAACCTCATGAGAAATCACTAGGACACAAGTCCCTTATATATATATATATATATATAACCGTATTTACTTACTTTTTTTGGGGTCCTAAGAAAAGGGATAATTCTTTTTTAAGGGGCTTTGTGTTTTTTTTTTTTTTTTTTTTCCTTCCTTTGTATTGTCAAAAGAGAAAATTTATTCAGAACAAATTTTTGATCCTATCAAAAGAGATAATTAAATAAATCTTTATTGACTAATAAATCTATATATTATCCGATTTGAACAAATAATATGCACATCTTTTATATTTGGGTTAATTACAATGACACCCCCTAAGGTTTGTCCTAATGACAGCTATATACAAGTTAACCTCTTTTTGAACAATAAGACCCCTTTAAGTTTGATAAAATTAACAAGGACACCCCCACACAAGCTAAAATGACCTTAATGCCCTTTCACTTGTGAATTAACCCATTTGAATTATAAAATTACCTTTTTAACCTTTATAATCATTTCAATTGACCAATTTAGCCCTCAAACCACCACTAAAGCTGAGAAGCCCTATACAGATTCAATCAGCTCTGCGATCATGGATTTTCCATTGGAATCTCAGTCACATCCCCGTCGTCGACCACATCAGCCTTCCATCATCTCCATCCTCCAAGAACCCATCAAGTAGCTCCTTCTTAGTCGCCGCCCCGACTGCCTCTTCACCAACACATTCACCGCAGGTCCGATGGTTCCCTGACGTCGTTAACGCCAGCGGCATCCCGCGAATCATCTTCAACAGAAGTGATTGCTTCGCTCGTGTCTACGTAGGCAAAGGTCGAGTTGTTGGCGGCGACAGTGAACCCCCAAATTGAGGCGTGGTTGCCCATAGCAGATCAAGAGGTCGTCACGGAGACGAAAGTCATCGCTAATAGATCCGGTGAGTTGAAGAACGAGATCCTTCCCGACGCCGACCTAGCACTGGCTACAAAAACTCCAACGACCGCTTATCCTGAAACACTGGCGGCCGCCTCGAGTGCATCGGCCTCGGCGGCGCCACCCTCGCCCATACCATTGGTGTATTAAGTGACCAAATAATTTTTTCCCTTTCTTCCTAAGTTCACCCTGTTCTTTCCATCCTCCCAAAAGCACCTACCATTCCACCGCTACCCACAGCCACATCCACCACTTCTCTTTACATATATATATATATATATATATATATATATATATATATTTATAACCCTAGTTGCCGTCGACGTCGCAAATGCATCACCGCCGTGTCATCCCCGCTGCTAGCTAGTCACCCTCATCGGAACCCAATCTCGTCGCCCTGGTCGTCACCATCACGGGAGCCCAAAAGAAAGACTTGCAGAAGTTCTAAACGATCTAATCTTCTCTCATGTCGACCGATCTCATGAACTACGAATGTTTCCATCAAAATTTTGAATCCAAAGGTTGTGGGTGAAGAGGTGGTGGTCCGGTGGTGGCTGCGATGGTGAGTGATTTAGTGGGTTTGGGTAGATAGAAGGTGATGAGGGAAGAAAAAATGGGTGGCTGGTATTGATCTTACACAAAGGGCAATTTGGTCTTTAAAGAGTTTTGATATTTTATCATTAATAGTAATAAAATATTAAAGGACAATTTCGACTTTTCATAACCTTTTAGGGGTTGTCTGGATGCAATTTTTTGTAAGGGGGTGTCATTGTTCAAAAAAGCTCCAACTTGTATATAGTTATTAATATGGCAAACTTTAGGAGGTGTCATTATAATTAACCCTTTATATTTTAAGAATTTTATTAGTGTCTGTTAATTTTGAAGACAGTCCAGTAACTTTCAAAGACACACCACACCTTAGGTTCTCGACTTCTTGGTCTTCTTATTTCTAAATTTCAATTTTATTTGAGGTGCAAAAATATTTCATAATTCTATGAGCTTTGACCAATTAACGCTTCGACAAAGCCTAGGCCACCTAGCAACCAGAGATCAGCGAAGGAAGGGGTTTAAACAGTTACAGAGAGAGAGATGGGTAACCCTAAGCAGAAGTGGACATCGGAAGAAGAAGAAGCACTCCGTGCAGGCGTTGCAAAGCACGGTACCGGCAAGTGGAAGAACATCCAGAAAGATCCCGAATTCAATCACCTGCTTTTCTCCCGCTCCAACATTGATCTCAAGGTCTTCTTTCTTCTTTATATTCGCGCGCGCGCGCACACACACAATATGTATCTGTGATTCTTGAGTTATATTTCTGATTTTCCCATATCACTTTCTTGTTTCATTGTAGTCAGTAACTTGTCGGCACTGAAATTAATATGTTCAGAACTGCCCTAGTAGAATTATTTATATTTACTTCAGATGATAATACAAAGGACTTAAAATATATTTCGTAAAAGTGAGATTAGTAAACACATGGAAAATTGATTGGTCCAAGGACTGCGCGGTCATTATTTAGGATCAAGAATCAAGATATTGTGACATATTCGAAGAGTCTTTAATCTTAAACAATGGATTATTTGGTGGATTGATTACTTGATTTTTCGTTTTGGTATAAAGTGGGAGGTGGTGGTAGTCTCGGGAATGAGAGAAAAAAGGAGGTGCTTCATAAGGGGTGTCACTTATTTGGAATCTTAGGTACATTTACATATATTAACATATAGAGATCCTGCTTAAAAGTTGAGGCATAATAGGTATAGTACAGTTGGCCCTGTTGTAGTTTGTATAATGTTTCCGAGTGTGAATATAAAAAAAGTACCATTGAAATGCTATCTAAATGCCGCCTCATATTGGATGTCTCTTGTTGAGTTTGTAAATTATATAATTATGAGGTTTTGATTTTGATTTTGATTGTTTGTGTGTATCAGCATGACCTGTCACACATTGTCGCTGACCTCTTGAATGCGAGTTTTTGTCAAGCTCCGAGTCAATACAATTTTGTCATTCGACAAAACTTTTAAGGGGTATGTTTGAGCTATGTTGTAGTTTGGTAGCGTGTTGACTCATGTTTAGGGAATTGTAATATAAAAAACAGAGACTGATAGAGTGATGTAGGACAAAGGAGTAGCCTTGAATAGGTAAAAACTTACGGAAGCTGAAATTCAAACAACTAGGGCTGAAATTTGGAGGTTTGATAGTAGAAATGCGGAGAAATCAAGGAGAAAATAAATAGAATAAGAGCTGCCTATTGGAATTACACCAATAGGGTCTAGGCATCACACATAGTGACGGCCTCACACCCTCACATCTTGTGAAAAGTTCAAAGACCTTTTTTTTTTTTAATTCATTAATGGACTAAGTCTCCAAGATTATATTCTACCCCTTTTACAGCATCTTATGACCCTTCAATTTCCCCTAATTGAGGTAATCGATACTTGACTCTAGCATAATAAAAATAATCACCCCATAATTGAGGTAATCAATATTTGACTCTAGGATTACTTATCAAAAAAATAATATTTGACTCTAAGATTACCCCATAATTGAGGCAATCAATTGACCCTTGGATTACCCCATAATTGAGGTTATCAATACTTACCTAGTAGTATAATTAAAGTAAATAAAAGTTGTCCAAAGCTTCCAATTATTCAAAACTCCATGTGGAACCATATTATCTAGCCTATGCCAGCTCGAATCTTAGAATCCTCCTTTTGGCGCCTTTTATACATCTTTAAAGATCTTTGCCATTGATCTCCATTATAGAGATAGCTCGACAAATGGTGTTGAACGCGTTGACTTATTGTAAATTGAAAAGTACCAAAGACATATTACACCTGCTGGTTTTAAAGTATATTAGCGTTTTTTTTTCGGTTATCATTTCCTAATTGATGATATAATTAAAGGAATGTTAGATTTTTAGGAATCCTCTGGCAGATGGATTCTCTTGTGCATGCCTTGTCATTTTATGTAAGACAAATTTTGTTGTCTAGTATATCGAGGGATTTTTTTATAGAGGATTTTTTTTTCCCTAGTTGGTACTCACATACGCATGCCTCCATTGAGGCTCGAATCCCTGACCTCTCTTTGAGAAGCAGGAGCTTGGTACCGCTAGGCCACTAGCCTGTTGGTGATTTTTTTTTTTTTCGTTTTTTTTTTTTGGGTTCCTTAAAAAGATAAAAAAATGCTACTGTGGGCTGACACTGAAATATTTCTACATACATCCTGAATTCTGAAAGCTGACATATGATCAAGAGTATCGACATCCAACATTTCAGCAAGCTGCAGTATTTTTTTCATTTAATTTATGATTATTATTATTATTAATTTTTTTTTTTTTTTTTTGGGGGGGCGGGGGCGGAAATGAGTGCAAATTCTCCAGTTTATAGATGGGACCGATACCATGATTGCTTGTGATGTTGACTTGGCTGAGATATAAGCAAATACTTGTAGATACTGGACACAGCTCACTACAGAGGCACTCATCCTGTGAAAGCCATACTTGATTGCTGTTGTCTCTGCTGCTTAGATAGGGTTTTATATTCATGGATGTATATAAATACATACATATCTAATGTTCTCTATTTGCTATGTTTTTCAATTTTAGATTTCTCCAAGCACATAATAGCTAATACTACAAGACTGTTCACTGTAATAATTAACTGTATACAATGCATTGGATTTTAATCCCATTACCACCTCGGATTGTAGATATTGATAGATTTTATCAATGAATCATATTGTGTTAACACGACTTTCCAAGAATTTCCCATTTGTATCTTATTGCTGTTTTCTTACATAGGACAAATGGCGCAATATGAGTGTTAGTGCCAATGGCCCCCCTAGGGAAAAATCACGGACATCAAAAGCAAAGGCCAATCCAGATGCTCCCACTACTCAATTGTCCAATGGGCAGATTGTTGTTTCTGCCACTCCAATTTCAAATGTTGCACCAATGGATGCAGTCATGGACGATTCTTCGAAGTGCATTCTTGATGGGAAAACTGCTTCAAAGTAGGACACCTTTTCCCCCTATTTTACTTATCTTTTTTTCTCTTTTTATGCAACAATGTTGATTATTGCATGATATTATGCCACTTGTTATGTATTTATTCAATGCATAAATTGTTTTATTTGATGAATGAGCTAATATTTGCTTAGTGTCTACACAACTTGGAGATAACAAAGGAAAACAATCTTTATTGGTGATATGAAACATTATATTTTACAACGGTTGTAGCCTAGTGTTCCTTCCTCACCTTTCAAAATGGAACAGTCAATGGTTCAAGTCCCGTAGGGACAAAGTTGGTGAGTGAGTTTCAACTAGGGGTAAAAAAAAGACGCTGTATTTATATATATATAAATAAAACTTGTGAAGTGGTGGCAAAGCTTTGTGATAGCACCGCTAGTTGAGAAGGTAACAAGGGTCCACAAAATGTACGCTGAAGCCTAGGATCTTGTTTCATCTGATTAGTAGATAAGAAGTTGGTTGTTCAATCATTATGTCCCTCTCATGGTCCTCGATTAATTATTTTCAGATTTTGCACTTCTACATGCAGATAAAATATAGATGTTAATGCTTGAGGCATTGCATTCAGTTTTTATTTTATTTTATTTTTTTTTAAAATTGTTTGGCTGCAAATATATGCATGAAGTCAAGTAAATTATTCTTTAATTTCTCACATATGCACCCATGCTCTCTCCTTTGCCATTGTGAAAATGTACCAGTCATACGTTCTGTGTAGCCAATTGAATACAGTTTCTTGTTTGCATGAAAATTGTAAATTGAGCATGGTCAGAAGGTTTATTAGTAAATGGCTAATGGGAGGTGGGATGTATCATTTCATTATGCAGCAATAACCTCGATTCCTTGATGATAGATTTATTAACTAGCTTATCATTTTGAAGCCAAATTTCTCTCTCTCGCAACACCCCCCCTCCCCCCATGGTTACAAAATTGCTATTATCAAGAATATCAATTCACAGTTTACCACCTCCTCGTGGCAGTTGGGATTTGTTTAGATGCATATATAGAATATGTCCTACTTTCACCTTAAAACAGCTTGATGTAGGAAAATTCTTAGAAGTTCAGAATAAATTAAGTCATGCTGCGTACAGTCATTTATTTGCTTGGCTAAGGCCTAAAATGCTCCTGGTTCTAGGATTGGTGAATATGGAAGCAAGGTTGTCAGGATCAGGATTCCACGTAGGATCGACAGGGTGTTCATAGGATCGGCTTGAGGATTGTAAGCTTCTACAAAACTAGTAGAAAAATAACTCTCTATGACAAGACAAGTTGATTAAATGCTTGTCTATGACCGGATCAGATATACAAGTTAACATATTTATTTAATCAAGTGTTGGCTTAATTGTGGATGTTGAGTGGCTGTATGACAAGACATGAGACATTAAAATTAGAATGAACACATTCGTGATAGAGATGTTAAAAAATAGGACGAACACCTCGTTCATGAAAAGTTGGAAGTGACTCCAATCTGGAATGGGATGTAAGAAAGTTGGTTAAATGCATGTCCAATGCAGCAACAGTGTACTGATACCAGCACCTCTGGTAAAAATGGCACGATCTAGTTTCAGGGTGTTGCAAGTATTGGGGGAAGACCAAATAGGGCATGGGCTGAGGTAGTAGGGAAAGAAATAAGGGAGTAAGCTTTAAGCAAAACGACGGCTTTAGATAGGCCAAAATGGTGAAATAAGATTCGTGTCTCCCTACATAGTCATGGCAACTTGACAAGGCATTGTGCGAGTTGAACATACTGCATAAGTAATCTTTTAGAGGCGTTGTTTTCAGGAAGGTGCTGAGAAATGAGTTAACCTTGAAAGGAAGTCCAATGTTATTATGCTAATGAAGAATAGATTTTTCAAGATGCTCATAACTAAAAGTTACCCACTAAGTAACTTGACAGGATGGCCTTCTATTATTAAAATAGAGATTCAATAAGCTGATTCATACTAAGTTGATTTCTGTGGAAGTAAATTTAGTGGATAGTTAAGGCTCTGTTGGGCTTAACTTCCTACATCGAGAAGAGCTATGTGAAAATGGGCTTTGTGGGAAGTCCTTCAAAACTTTGCGCCAACAAATTCTCTTTCGTAAATACATATTCACGATGTGTTCAAGATCCCCTTTTCAAACCTCACAGTTCCCCATTGAAATCAGCCTGAAGTTAGGTTCAATAATGAAAGTATATAGTCTTTACATGAACTGTTGAAACAGGTAAACATGCACATGGAGAGAGAGAGAAAAAAAGAAGGGAGTAGGGTCTCCTTTTGGAACATGAGAAGGTCCAATGGGGAAAACAAAAAGTAAGGAAGGAAAAAAGAGTGGAAAGGCCTCTCTACCCTTTGAATCACTCCGTTATAGGTTTATAATTTTATATAGGAATCGGGGTGACTTGTACATGTAAAAGTATTGGGAAGTTATCGAGTAAATTTCCACCCACCTTCATGCAAAATTGTTCAAATGGCTAATCCAGAAAGCATCTGCTATTACACCCAACTAAAATAAAATAGAAGCAATGCTTGATGGGCTTTGGATAAACTCAGCAAACACCCATTTGATATCATGAAAGGACTTCCATGGCCTGGAAGCCAGTTTTTACTCCCAAAAGCCCTCAAAATCTCTGCCAATGTTGTTAAGGTTTTTTGTTTGGATAATTCTCCTAGTTTTTTCTAATAGCCATATTTTTTGTGGGTGATGCTCCAGCTCAACATTATTGCTTTCATGCTGTGCTTTCAGGTACAATGCAATGATTTATGAAGCACTTTCAACCCTGAAGGAGCCAAATGGATCAGATACTAGTGCACTTGTTAGTTTTATTGAGGTCTGACTGAAGTGTACCACCATATCTACTTGCTTTCTATTTTTCTCTTATCTATTGATTTACGTAGCAGAAAGCTAGATATTAAAATTTTGAAGATTTAGCTTTATTATTCTTGAAGTGAGATTATATTTATAACATGTCGACGGGAAATGCATGAAGGAAGATGAGATATCAAAGCTGAAACTATTTTATGATGTTTTTTTTTTTGATAAGTAAAACTATTTTATGATGTTTATTTAGCTGAATCCTTTATTTATTTGTTTGTTTATTTTATTTAACTCAACTCAACTCAACTCAAATCCTTTTCGCAAGTCAAGTCAAATCTTTTAACTGTTTTGGTACTTTCTTTAGTTCGAGTTATGAAAAAATATATATATATATATTTAAAACAGCTCCTTAGGTCACGGTGAATGGTGACTTCTTTTCTCTCATGTCTCCATCAAATTTGTTGGTTTAGGCAATGGCTGATGGTGAAAGCTATTCAATCTTTCAAGAAAGAGGCAGTCGACTTTAAATTTTTATCACTCTTTTTGATGCCTCAAATTAACAGATTTAGAAGCTGAATTTTTGGCCAATGAAGCACCTTGCTTTCCAAGGATTTCTTGCGCAAAGAGATGCTGCATATCCTTGTGGCTCTTCTTGGCACTTTTTGTTACACTGTTTGTTTCTTTTCTCTTGAACAAAATCATTTCCTCCATCTTTGGTTTGCTTATGCCTTTAACAAAAATTTTCATTATTATTGTTTTTTTTCTTAAGAAAAATGCACCCTAGATACTAGTTTTTATTAACATATAATTATTGATTAAAAGGTTGTATTGGTTGATTAGGTCTTTAAAGTAATCTGGATAAACGATTTTGATTGATGGACTCTGAGGGATATGACCATTAGCCTAGGCGGCGTAGGCTATGATAAAGCCCGAACTACTTATCAAAAAAAAAATTGATAAAGCCCGAACTATATCTAGAGGGAGGGGGGTCATTAGGTCTCAAAAATAATATTAACTAAATTTAACAATAATTTAAATTTTAACTAACCTTAAATAACTGAAATTCAGTTCTTAACAAACAACTACTACATGGCAGTTAGTCCAGGCAGAAGAATGGTTTACAATCCTAGGTATCAGATTCTGAAAAGAAAACTCACCATTTTTTGTGTGGAATACCCTATAGGGTAAAAATCACGGCAGTTGAAAAAGAAAAGAAAAGAGAAAAAAATCAAGGCAGTTAGTCCAGGCAGAAGAAAGGTTTACAATCCTAGGTATCAGACTCTGAAAAGAAAACTCACCATCTATATGCAGTGATGACAGAAACGGATATCTAGCAATTAGGTTGCTAGGATGCACTCAAGTTTGCCTCGTAATGCTTTATATTGCTCAGAGTATGCCCATATATGTTACATATATTTTCCGGGAACATAGGGCCTTTATATAGACGACTTTTGAGGTTGAAAAGATTAGGGTTTTAGTAGTTAATACCTTTCTAGAAACTCTTATTTAGACGTTTTTATCGATTGAGTCTCAGGTTCGATCGATTGAACCTAGTCCAGTGAGGCACGATAAACTTAATAACAATTTTTTATTTTTTTTTCACACTTGATACTCACACACACATGCCTCCATGGAGGCTTGAACCCTTGACCTCCCTTTGGGAAGTAAGGGACTGATACCGCTAGGCCACTGGCCCATTGGTAACTTAATAACAATTTAATGCATTCTCAAACAAATTTTTAAGGATCGAAACATGTAAATCACAATTCACAACCCTAACATGTTTAATGATAAGAATGCATGAATATGAACACTAATTTTGGTTTGTGCATAATTTGACAGCCGAAATAACCTTTGTATCCTTGTTGAAGTTTAAAATCTTTGTTTTTCCAGATAATTAGCTAAACTATCTTTTGAAAAGTATAAATAAACTAGGAATTAAAAATAATGCAGTTCCCGTTTTGAACGAAAATTTTCAACCAAATCCTATTGACCAAACAGACTAGAGAGCATGTTGCTTGGTAATCATGCTTAGTGTTTTCATGGTGGTTCAGGAGAATGTTGTTAAAATCACCCCCTTTGTAATGTTTGGACTTTGTACTAGGTTACATTCGTGGCCTAGCGGTATCAGACCCTTCCTTTCCAAAGGGAGGTCAAGGATTCAAGCCTCATGTGTGTGTGAGTTACCAACTAGGAAAAAAAATTGTTGAGCTTTTCATTACCAATTGTTTTAACTTGCGTGTAGACATTCATAATATACCTGTGTCGTTATGTTCTTTAAGAAGCCATTCTTTCTGAACCAATATTTTCTAGCTATAAATAGCTAATACTAGTTGTTTTCTTAAAAATATATATGCTTCTATGTATGCATTCGTTAGTGCGATCAAATTCTTATGAGGTGTTACTTGATCCCTGGCAACTATTATTACTATCATATACCACTATTACTACACTATCCATGATGTTTGACACTATGAAAATTGACGATGTCTTGAATTCTTGATAATTTATGCAGCAAAGGCATGAGGTGCCCCAGAACTTTAGAAGGTTATTGAGTTCTAGACTAAGAAGGCTTGTTGCACAAGACAAGCTTGAAAAGGTGAATGTTCTTAATTCACAGTGTAATTAATTCCTAATTTATTTTAGCAACCATCTGTTTGATCATGTACAGTTTTGTGGCTGTTTAAATGTTGACTTCATGTTTAATTTTAATATAATATTAACACGTCAATAAATTTCAATATTCTGTAAGAAGTTATAAATATTATAAAAAGGTTGGTCAGGTGATTTTAGGTCAGCTTGAGCTTGAACAGAACTGTACCATACCAAAATCAACTTACTGCCAGTCCCACTTCATGTAAAAGTATCAACTGTAGTTGAAAATTTCCACAATATGTAATTGGCTTTGGTAAGTCAAAATTGAGGTTTACAACTGTTTGTTTGATCAAAGTAATACCAACTAATCATTATTGACAAAGTAGCCTAATTTCTTACCCTTTGGTTTTTACTAAACTAAAAACAAGAGAAGTCTCCAGAACAGAAGCGGAGGAAAACAAACATAGGAAAGCAAGGAATTAATTCAGTGAAGCAGTGGACTGGAAGCATTGCAATATATATTCTTACTGTGAAAGTTGTCCCCATATTTTGAAAAAAGAAATTGGCTTTTTCAGTTATCGTACACTAAAATGCAGGTCCAGAATTGCTGCTACAAGATTAAGAAGGACGTCTTGCTCAGTACAAAAACACCTACCCCGAAACAGAAAGATATCCGACCAAGACAAATACAAACCAGTTGTTATCTCGGGGATACAGTTGAAGATGCATCAGTTGCTGCTGCCTACAAGATTGCAGAAGCAGAAAACAAATCATTTGTAGCAGCTGAAGCAGTTAAGGAGGCAGAGAGGGTTTCAAAGATGGCTGAAGAGACAGATTCAGTGCTAGTGTTGGCAAAAGAGATCTTGGAAAGATGTAATACTAAAAATCTACATTCTCGTTTTTCCCACTCTTTTCCCATCTATAACACATTCTATTTTCTTCCTTTGACAGGTTCGCGTGGTGAAATTGTGCTAATGGCATAGGACACGGATGCACATCTTATTCAAGGAACCTCTTCTTTAGAATCCTGTAAATTTAATATCCCGTGCTTGCTTTATTTTCTTCACTGTAATAAAGTATAACAGGCTGGTTTTGCGTTAATTATTAAATTTTATATAACCTATCAAATGGACATTGTGATAAGGTAAATTATGGGAGTGTTTTATTCTGTAGCATCACTGTACAATCTTTCTTTATTAGTGCTGTGACTGCTGTCAGTGCGATGTTTTGGAGGACTTTGGGGTATTTGCTAGTCTGCATGGCTGCTTATTAGTAAATAGATGGGAAAAGTTCTGCAAATCCGTCACTTTATGAGTCATGAAAAGTACAACTGAGCTCGACTAGAGATTAACGTAGAAAACCTCTTTACTGGGCAGCTGATGACTTCGAAAATATATGAAGAGAAGGTCTGAAACTGTATTCGTTAAAGGAATCTCAGGTTTCTGTTAAGCTGGACTTATGTTCATTCAGATTCATGCTTTGCTCTGACTGTTGGAGTTCTATGACGCAAGTTGAAGGTCATGGTGTACTAGAAATTTAGAAGCAATATATAAAAGCTACCTGTGTTTTTAGGTCGTGTTTTTGTTTTCGTATTCTATACCTTACTCTTGGAATTTAATGTAGGCAAATCCTTTTTGTTGTTTCTTCTTGCGATAGAAAATAAGAGCGCTAGTCCCCACAGCGGTAGCACAAGATCACCTCCGCTGCTGTGTTATTGACTTCAGCTGTCATTGCAACTTTCACGGTGTGGGTGCTACTGTAAGATCATACCATCTGTACGAATGAAGGGCGAGGGTTCATGGTTACCAAGCTGGCTTACCCTCATCGTGAACATGGCAAATTCTGGTTTAGTGGAAGTGATCAAGAATTGTCATCTCAAGTTTCCTGCATTGGTGGCTACTTGTCTCACAGAATACATGAGCTTAGCCTTGTTCTTGCTCTTGTAGAAGTGCAGTGTGTATGAGAGTGAAAGGAAAAAGTAATTGAAAGACGCTTGAGCTCATCGAAACCAAATGTGGATTGTGACTCTCTAATCTAAAAGGTTCTATGAAACACGTTCTAGAGAAATTTAAATTCTATCTATATTGGTTTTGGCGAGTTCTAATCCAAAGAATTAGATTAATATTCATCTTAATGAACCTTATCCAAAAGAAATCATCCTAGTGAAGTAGAAGTTGCTTTAGTTCATTTTCTTTTTACTTCGAAGTTTGGTATAGGTTTAGACAAGGAATCCGATTCCGTCCTGCATCGCAAAAAATATATGAAAAAGTAATTGTTTTTGTTGCATAAGTGATGTAATGTAATTTGATAATGAAGTTGTTGTATAAATAATATAATGCACAAGGCCTGGCACATAATGAAATACCACATTATATAGAATTCATGTTGCATAAATGATGAAATACAATAAGAATACTCATATGATTTAATGACACATTTTTGAAAAGAAAAATAAAAAGATTTAATGCAATATGATGAAATTCACATGTTACATTATTTAATAATACGTTATATGAAATGACACAAAATAAAATTCAAATTCTTAAACTAACACTTTTTGATTCGTATATATTATAACAAAGATTGAACATTAAAGATAAATAGGATAACAAAAGGGTGAACATTGAAGTCAAAATGAAATATAAAAAACATTTGTACTTTTTTAACGAACTTAGTTGTGCATCCACATTCCATAGGACTAGCACATCACCCTCTCATAGATAAAATAGATGGAAAAAATACCATTTGTTATTTATTTTTTAAAATTATAAATATTATGTGATATTAATATTAGGATATGGGGTTGTGGGGTCGGTATTGTAGTTTGAGATAGATCCAAATTGCCTTGTCTAAGAGAGTTTCAAATTCAAAAAAAAAAAAATTAGGATATGAGTTCTAACTAGTGAAAAAGTCTTTAAAATAACTATGAGAGCTATTTTAAACATATGGTAAAACAATTTTTTCTTTTGTCGTTGATGATGATGATGATGTGTTACCAATTTTAATGATAAGGTGTCACTGACTCACTAACAACCATTTGATACAAATTATGTAATATCCTGTATAAATGTATCATATACAAAAATAGGTTCACGTGTGGTAATTTAATTTATTAATAATACAGGAGAATGACATATCTCCTGTTCTAGTAAAGTTTTTACTGTAAGTCAGAATAAACTATTATTGTAAAGTTCGAATCATACCTTTTGGACTCAAAATACTTTATACCCGGTCGTCCTCGTCAGCCTTGGTATATACAGAGTATACCATAAATAAAAATAATAATAATAAAAAATAATAATAATAAAAAGTGTTGGTTGGTTCAAAAGCCACGTGTACATGTGTAAGGCCGTTGAAAAAGTTTGGAGGGTGATCAGTTCAAAAGTTGGGGGGTAAATTCGGGAACTCAAAAGTAGGGGTGATCCCTTTTTGGCACATCGTATCCTCACTTCTTTCGCATCTCGTACTCAGTTTGCCCATTCCTTCAACTCCACGGAGTAGATCCGAGGAGTTTGGGAAAACCCTAACTTCTTCTACATCGCTCTTTCTCTCTCTCTCTCCATCGACCATCAATTTCTTCATCGTCATCATAATCGTAATCATCACCAGGTCTTTGCTTTTGATCTTAAAAATCTGCTTAATCTATTTAATATATGTGCATGTTCTTTGATGATAGTATTGTTTTATGTATGCTGATTTATAAGTACATTGGTGTTTTTAATTTAGAATTGCTTTTCAATAGACTGTTATTTTAATATGGATTAGTTCATTGTTATTGATATTGTCCCGTTTAATTTATGTTGCTGTGATTTGTATTTAATCTAACGTTTCTGCTTTTTCATACTCATACTTCCATAGCATGGGACTGTATGTAATTGTGTATAAGTTGCATATAGAATTATTATGAGGAATGCTATCATGTTGATAGCCTTCTCATGGCAAGCTCTCTTTTTTTAATCAATAAATTTGGAAGATTATTTAAATGACTTATTTGATTTTTAATAAAGAGAGCTCATGCCTCTTGTTATGAGAGGGCTCTCGTAATAGCATTACTTAATTATTATTGTATGAGGCGTTTAAGTGTGAGGAGTAGTTTTTTATATTGAGAAATTTACGTGTTAGTCCTACTTTTGCACTCTGATGACAAATAAGTCCTAAAAAGTTTTCATAGGACAATGAAGTCCTACTTTTCATACAAATTTCCAACAAAGTTCTATAACTAAAACAATTCCTCCTTCACCCTTTTCATATATCATGTGTGTTGCTTGACTAATTTTCTCCAAACAATTTTGCTAAAAATTTGATTGAAAATAAATAATTTAAGAAAAAAGGCTTTATTTCAATTCACCGCTGATTAAGGATGGCAATGGGGCGGTTTGGGGAGGGGATCTCATTCCCCCATCCCCATTCCCGTTTAATTTTTTCACCCTTATAACCGCCCCAAAACCCACCGGGTTTTTCAAAGCAGTCTCCATCCCATCCCCATTTACATAATCGATTTCCCAAAACTGCCCCAGACGGGGCAGGGTTCCGCTGGGGTGGGGAATTTTTCTATCCCTACTTGCGGCTTTCTTTTTTTTCACAAGACTCAAAGACATGAAACGAAATGAGGTCTAGGGTTTTCTCTTATCTCAAGACAGTTTTGGAGAATCTATTTTTTCACAAGACAGTTTTGGAGAATCTATTTTACTAATATATCATAGTATGTAAGGGTAATTTAATAAATTTATAGTATATTCGGGGCGGGGCAAACCTCCCCCAAAACCTGTCGGGTTTTTCAAAGCAGCTCCCATCCCCGTCCCATTTACATAATAGATTCTCCAAAACTGTCTCGGGGAGGGGCGGGGTGGGGATTTTTGCCATCCCTACCGCTAATGTGGACCAATAATAGATGGACACGTCCTATTTAATTAGCAAATCAAAGATCTTTAATTACCAAATTAGAAATGGTAGGGTACACACTTACTAGTATTATTCTTTGATTTTTTTTCTAATATTATAATTAAAGAGGACGTGTTCAATTGTTATTGGTTACATCCTCACTAGTGATGACAGTATTGTCCAATTTGATAACTTATTTAGATAACATTGTCTCAAATTTATAGAGATTTATTTTTTATTCTTTGGATTTTCTATTATTTTTTAAAAAAAGAAATATGAACTAAAAAAATTAAAACTAATAGAAATAATTCATCTATAATTCATAAATGTAATGCATGAAAATCATTTCATTGTATTTTAACATGTTGTGAATATTTAAGGAAAGTGAATTTGAAATAATTTGTCAAACGATTTAGGATTATTAATTTTTGTAACAATTAATATTTCTTTTAAATAGGTATTAGTTACAAAATGTTTGACGTAGAGAGAAATTTTTTATTTTAGTGAAAAAAGGCAGTAACAGTAATTTATAATAGAGGGAAATATTAGAAAAAAGTTCATTATTTATAGAATCTGAAGCTATTTGGAAATATTTCTCAAAAATAGGACTTTGTCTTTGTGAAAATCTTTAGGACTTATTTGTCTTTTGAGTTTGAAAGTAGTACTAATTGGTAATTTTCCCTTTGATATATTTGTCACTTATGAGAAACGTTATGGCTTGAGAATAACTATGAAATATCGGGCTTCTTCTAAACCTTTTAGTTGATTGAATTTGGACAGGAATAGTTTAGATCAACAATAAAAAAGAAACTGAAAAATCTCCTTATATGATAAAAGGATGGGTTCCTCACTTAATTGCATATAATTTTGAGAAGACATGTTCGTTTGTGTTGGTATCAATTTGTATTGTGTTTGTTGTTTGTTATTTATTTGTTATGATAACTTCTCACTCACACACACGCAAACACACTAATTACACTCCCCAGTGTATGTTTTGCCTACTCAACACCAAGGGAAGATTAGGGCTGCATCGTGCACACTAATACAGACAGGAAACTGAAACTTGTTTGGTATTTCACGATAGAATAATTTGGGCATATCCACAGTCACAGCGTTGTTCTTGTTTTGCTTAAGAATGATTTTTGAATTCTTAGCAGTCATGGCGGGTCTAGCACCAGAAGGATCACAGTTTGATGCCCGTCAATATGATGCCAAAATGAATGATTTGTAAGAACTTATTGCTCGCTTTTAAATTACTCATCATTTTGGTGTTGGCTGTACATGCGAGGGTTAATGGGTGTATGGCCATGTTCCATTTACATTTATTATCTAAACATCAACTTAAGATTTAAAAGTTTGACATGTTTGTAGTGTGGATACTGATTGTCTTCCTTGCTTTACGGTCCAGACTTTCAGCTGATGGGCAAGATTTCTTTACATCATATGATGAGGTTTATGACAGTTTTGACGCTATGGGTTTGCAAGAGAACCTTCTGAGGGGCATTTATGCATACGGTAGATTTAACTATGTATCCGTTTTTTGTTTGTTACATGCAATATATATCGATCCCTTAAATTTTTTAATTTCAATGTCAAATTCATGGGCTCCTAATTTTCTAGTGCCTCTTTGTATGTCATCTTGTAAGTATTGATTGAATAAGACCTCAGTATGGAGGTTGGGCATCTCTTCTACAGGTGTACATACTTTGTAAATTGAAAGGTTGGGAAATGTCAATAATGATGTATTCTGAAGAACTCTGCTTTGCTTCGAATTATTATGGTGATGTATTGAGGATGGTTGGTACCTATGTAGGTTTTGAGAAACCCTCAGCAATTCAGCAAAGGGGAATTGTCCCCTTCTGCAAGGGTCTTGATGTAATTCAACAGGCTCAGTCCGGAACTGGGAAGACAGCAACTTTCTGCTCTGGTATTCTTCAACAACTTAACTATGGTATAGTGGAATGTCAGGCCTTGGTTTTGGCACCTACACGTGAGCTAGCACAACAGATTGAGAAGGTCATGCGGGCACTCGGTGATTATCTTGGTGTGAAGGTACATGCTTGTGTAGGTGGAACCAGTGTCCGCGAGGACCAGCGTATTCTATCAAGTGGGGTTCATGTGGTTGTTGGCACTCCTGGGCGTGTATTTGATATGCTACGTAGACAGTCCCTTCGTCCAGATTATATAAAGATGTTTGTATTGGATGAGGCAGATGAAATGCTCTCACGAGGTTTCAAGGATCAGGTCCTTTTACCTACTTTTTATTTTATTTTTTCTCTGCATTCTCTTCGGAGATTTGTTTGTTTGTTTGTTTTTTTAAATGCAATTTTCTAAAGTAACCAGACAAAAAGAAAAGTAATGAAATTTTTAGGTGGTATTATATAGTTGAAACAAATGAGGATAGAAAGAGAAGCTGTAATTATCAGGGCATGTGCAACAAATACCTTGTTATACACCTCCCACCTTTGTGGAGGATTGGTTCTATTCAAATTGAAGTGGCACTTGGGGAAGAGGATGTGTAAAGAGATTGACGTATGAGTCAGTTGAGGAAGGCGGAGGACATGGTGGTTACCAGTTAATGTGTACTTGAATCTTTGTCGAACTCGAGGAGGAAAATTTTAGTTTTAACCTACTCCAAGCTGCTGGGTTTTTGGTTCGTTTAGCTGTGCTAGATTGAAATGCAAAATTGCTAATCTCTGATGTACTTTCTTTATGCCATACGTGGCTTAAACTCTAGAAGAAATTTAGTCATATTAATCTTTTTTACCTTTACCTAGGATTGTATGTAATTTCTTTTTCTCCTCATCACAGTTTCTCACTGGGTTAAAGTTAGTTAGTTATGTCCATGTCATTCAAGATTGCTTTTCCTCGGTTTTCTGACACTCCAAGTCCATGGACTTATTCTTTGGTGTGCTCTAATGTTAAATTTTTTGTTTCCAGATCTATGATATATTCCAGCTCCTTCCTTCAAAAATTCAGGTTGGGGTGTTTTCTGCCACAATGCCTCCCGAGGCCCTTGATATCACAAGGAAGTTTATGAACAAACCTGTGAGGATTCTTGTGAAGCGTGACGAGCTCACCCTGGAAGGTATAAAACAGTTCTATGTTAATGTAGACAAGGAAGAATGGAAATTTGAGACACTTTGTGATCTTTATGAAACCTTGGCCATCACCCAAAGTGTAATTTTCGTGAACACGCGACGCAAGGTTGACTGGCTCACTGACAAGATGCGAAGCCGAGACCACACAGTCTCAGCCACCCATGGAGACATGGACCAGAACACGAGGGACATAATTATGCGTGAATTTCGTTCTGGGTCATCCCGTGTTCTCATCACAACTGATCTTCTGGCCCGTGGTATTGATGTCCAGCAAGTCTCTCTTGTTATAAACTTCGATCTCCCTACTCAGCCCGAGAACTATCTTCATCGTATTGGACGTAGTGGCCGGTTTGGGAGGAAAGGTGTTGCCATCAACTTCATCACAAGGGATGATGAGAAGATGATGCATGACATCCAGAAGTTCTATAACGTGGTAATTGAGGAGCTGCCATCAAATGTTGCTGATCTCCTGTAACAAGATTTTGTCTTCCTATTAGCAGTGAGAAAGGTAACCCTTTTCACATTTCCCCCCTTTCTACCCTCTTAACTTAAATGTTTGAGTTCATCTGATTATTGAGTTATATGAGTACCATATATTGGTAATGTGTAATCATCATTTCTAATTTGGTTGTGGGACACTCATTATTGAGTACTCATTTGCAATGTTTTGCTCAATATGGCGACGTAATTTTATAATTTTTTTTTGCAGCCGAATGTCAAAACGTAGTCTCAAGTAGCTGAGAAGGAACGATTTTCTGTATAGCAAAATTTTGCCGTGGATGAGGGCTAAGCTATTCTTTTGATGAACTTTTTTACAATAAATACAGAGAGGTTGCACGATTCCTACCACGCCCATATGGACATCTATTCTGTGCGTCTGTCATGTATTAGTATGGTAAACATTATTATATATGCCTCACAATTTTGGATTTCGCCGGCTTGCATTAAGGAACAATGGTGGTAGAAAATAAATTTGTATTAGGTTTTAAGGAATGTACTTTGATGAGAGATGATTGTAGGCCTGCATTAAGGAATGTACTTTGATGGACTTTCTCATGACCAATTTTTTTGTCTGCACTTTCTTTGTTGTTACTTAGTCCATTAACATTTGAGCCCTGCTTGCTAGCTGCAACATGGGCCATTTGTGTTTCACATGGGATCCGGATAGAAAAATGATTGGATATAAATGAGTGGATATGCAATACTATTTAATAACTTGAGCTTCTGGGTAAATGGGCAAGCGTCCACCCATACAGTTGATATTAGAGCGAGACCCAGTCCTTGATACGGTGCCACGCTAAGCGTCTGGCCCAGGTAGGTGGCCTGAGTCGCAATGAGGGCGTTGCGAGTTTAAGTGGAAGATAATGTAATAAGAGTCATTTGTCGCACATCGAATCCGGATGAAAAAATGATTGGGTATAAATAGGTCGATATGGAACACTACCCAACAACTTAAGTTTTGGACGAGTGCCCAACCATTACACTAGCTTACAACGCATGAAATGAAAGAAGGGTCAGAGTATTTATGCCCATACCTGAACTTTTACCCCATAACTTGTCCGGAAGGTTCATTAAATTATGAGAATTTATCAACAATTATATTTTATTTATACTTTTTCATTTTTCAAAGTGTAGTTTAAGTTCTCAAATTAACATGCAGGTGTTTGAGTTTTTTGTTACGGAGTAAACCAAAAAAAAAATGCTGTTAAATTTTTTTTGTTTAACATCAACGTGACCGGAAATTTGGTAGAAATCCCCAAATAATGGTCCCAACACCGACATATAATTTAATACCATAATTTTTTAGGGCATATAATTTAATAAAATCATACGTTTTAATGTGTTGACATTTAATCATGGTCTTACTAACGTGTGCCTGTGAGAGAGAGAGAGATTGGCTATATTGCTAATTATTCCGAATCATCATTTGGCATTAGTCAAATCCAAGAGCATAGTTAACATCAATGACTAGGATTGTCTTTTGCTTACAAATCGGAGGTTGTAGCTTGCTTCTGTGAAGTCAAATATATACTTTTGACGATGTCATTTTCTAACCTTTTAAAGAATTGCCTTTATGGGCTTAAAAATAAATAAAAATACATGAATATTAAATGATTTTTAGGAAGTAGTCGTGCGTTTTTAAAAATGATTTTGCAAGGCATAACAAAATAATAAGCGTTCCGTAGATATGTTATAGTAATACTTAGGTGGACCATTCGCCATTTGGTCCAATAATATAAATGGGAATGGTACGTGTGATATAGTTTATATTCTATGTAATTAAATGGACCACCCATTTTGTTGCCTTTGCTTGTACCATAAAATATTTGACACAAAACACAATGTCCCACCAGAACATGCTGTTGGGATCAGTTAATTAGGACAAAATTTCAAGACTCGATCGCTGAATTCACTATTCACCACAAAGTCTTTCCTCATTTGAATCTCGCCATTAGTAATAACTTTTTCCTTTAAAAAAATATTCAATAAAAATTTCTATATAAGAAAAGAAACAAAGCCATTGAGAATTTGTAAACTCACTTGGCCGGTTTCAAATATATTTGTTAACATAATAATAATAACAATAAATGGTAAAACTTACTTTGACAAAAATAGAGAGAAGAAAAAAAGAATACAAGCATACAACTAATTCATTGACTCCACATTTTATAAATGGGTTTACTTCAATCCAGATTTTGAACCAACCAAGCATAGTTAGGTTGAACATCTGACAAGATTTTGAAGACTTATTTTAATTTAAGAAGTATTGAATATGGTAGTTATGGAATTTAATTTATGTGAGAAGAGTATACGAAATCTAATATTAAACTATGGAATTGTCACATCACTCACATAACTCACGTAAAGGTATAAATAATTCAGACTATTGAATTTGACTATTCAATTTTAAAATTATTTTCTTTTATTTTTAAACCCTAATTAAGTTGAAATAATTTTGTAATTTTATATATTAATTGTTTAATTTTTGGAATATTCTCTTTCACGGTAGTTGTTTCTAGGCTTGATCATGGATCGGATTGGATCAGTTTGATTTGGGGTAAAGTTTAATCCAATCCGGTCTCCATGAATTGGTGAAATTTGAAACCGAACCGATCAGTAAGGACCTTCAAAACGAACTAAACTGTGAAATAACGGATCGAATTAGTTCAGTTTTCACGGATTGAGCTTTTCAAACAGCCCAATATTATTACACTTTATGACTCATTAAAATATCAAATTAGTAATTAAAAATCTCTAATTAACTTTTTTACGTATATCACCAAAAGCTTAAATTACCTAATAACAAACATATATCACCAAAAACTTAAATTATCTAATAACAAAATAAAGTTATAAATCATCCAAAAGTGAAAAGTCTTGAATAATAATAATAATAAAAGTAAAATAAAAATACAGTAAGTATATTGTATGTGTATATATATATATATATATTAATATATAATTAAGATAACGGATCGGTTGGGTTAATAGATTGAATTAATTTTTTCATGGCCCAATTCGTTAACTGAATCACGAATTATTATTTTTTTAAACCATCACCGAACCATGATATATAAAAATCGAATTAAATCATACGGATCAGATTGTTCGGATCAAATTGACGAATTATTTACCCGAGTGGAGGTACACTTGAAGAGTACCCTAACCCTTTTCCCAAACCGCCTATCATCATTCAGCTCTGTTGGCAACGTCTGCTCAGTCGACACCTTCAGAAACTTCCAAGCGCCTCTCTTACAATTTTGAAAGGTTTTATGTCGCTTCAATTCAGAGCATACCGCTTCTATCAACATTTTCTCTGTTCCCATTCTGTGTGAGAAATTCACACACACACCCGCATATAAATACAGATGTATATAGGACACACTATACAATAATAATACATATATACATAAACAAACCGCCTAATCTCTCCACAGAACATCACCGCTTCTCCAAATATCGTCTTTCTTTATTCGAATCGTTATCATCCTGTTTCAGACACTCTGCGATTCTCTCGTTAGAATTCCATCTCTACAACTTTTTCTGTCTATTAATGGCGATCTTGGACTCGCCGGAGAGTACAGGCACCAGTACATCGATCGCTCAAGACGACTCGGATCTCAACCTCTCTGTTAGGAGGAGGCCGAGCGTGAGCACTGTGAGGGCGGAGTCCGATTCGACCTCGGAGACGAACTCGTTCGAAGCTGAGAGTTCCACTAAAGATTTCGAGAACGGTCAGAATCAGATCGCGGACGGTGGAGGTCCGGTGGAATCGGCGAATGAGTTGTGCAATGGGAAGGACGGTGGTGACAAGGTCGGAAATGGCGAGAATCGAGGAACGGACTTTTTGGCTAAATTGGCGTATCGGCCTTCGGTTCCGGCTCATCGGAGAATAAAGGAGAGTCCTCTCAGTTCTGACGCAATATTCAAACAGGTTTATCTATATTACTTTGTGTGTATAATTGTTTCTTTTTGCTGATTGTGATTTAGAAATTTAGAATTCTGTTTTTTTGGCTCTAGGTTCTTTTGTCGTTTTTAATTCATGTTTTATGGGGTAAACTACATGCAGTTACAACTCACTGAATGTTGACACTTGTTTTAAGCAGCACATGCAAGTTTGTAGTCATTTAAAAGTATTTAGTTTCTGGCTTGGTATCGATATAGTTTATAGTTATATTGCGTAAGAAGTTTAATGTTGAGTGCCAAAGATTAAGTTTCTCTGTGTATCCATCTAATGTATTGGTTTTTAATTTTTGCTTCAAGGTCTATTGTAACATTCTATTGTTCATTAGTTTCATTGTATTCATATGATGTTAAAACAAGAGGCAGTCCAAGGGTGTACCTTATTTTTTCATTGATGATACCATAGTATGTTTTAATTTTAAGTTAAAACCATGGAAAAATAAGTATGGTGAATACTACTGCTGGACTTTTTAAGTAGGATCTTTTAGGTTATTAGTATTTAGTATTGTCAAATTCCTTAACAAAAGACAGTTTGTATTTAGTTTTAACTTCGGTTATTTTCAAATTAGTTTAGTTTGGTCTAGAATTTAGATTATACCAATGGATATGGATTTGAATACTATGAGATGAAGACCAAGTAGATGAAGATAGTGCAAAAAGGTTTTATTGTCTCATGAATCACATACTCACCAAATTAGGGTTTTATTTCATGCATTCACGTAATGTAATGGGTTGACAATATAGAAATTGATATCATATAAATGGTCTGGAAAAGGTGAGGTTGGTTTGAGAATTAATCACTCTAAATCTAGACAATAGCACATTATCCCGATTATTTCTTTATTTTCACTATGAATGTATGTACTTCTTTCTCCATAAATATATATTACTGGTAATTCTAGATAAAAATTTAAGTTTCACAAATTGTTATTAGAGCAGCACAATTAGATACAAGCTTTTCAGTAATACGCGGCGGCAAGAAAAGGTTTGAATATTGATATTGAGATGAAGAGATTCAACAAACATAGCATTTTTTTTTTCCTAATTAACAAACATAGCATTTCATCCTGTAAAGTCCATGGACAATTTGTAGGGTGTTGAGGGGTAAAAAATATCTGTGGACCTAACCATTACATTATTGTTTGGGCCCTTTAGGGGAAAAAATGATCTCAATATTCCAGTCTACGTCAGGAGAGTAAAAATTTATTAACTAAGATTTATGTAGGAAGTAGAAAAAGTAACCTAACATGCTTTTTGTTGAACGGGTAGACTAGGTGATTAGATTTATGAGTGACTTCCAGCCCTTTCTTGAATATGAGGTAGTGTTAAATTATTCCATTCTTGAATAGTTTTGAACATTATTAGAAGGTCTAAAGTTGGTTAAATAATTGACAGAAAAACTGTACAGGAGGAACAATTGTCTGGGTTACAAGTGGAAGAAGGTTTTCTTCTCATGTGTCTTAAAAGATTATTGCGTTGCGCATTGTAGCTGCTTATCGGAGACTCGGTCAAGGTTCTGGAAGATTTAAAATGGCTTGGTTGGCTTCAAATTTCGAAGATAAAAGTTAAATTGAACTCATATAATTTCTTAAAAGGAAGGATTGTAGGCTTTGTAGCTCATTCTTTGGAAGAAGTCAGGTGTCTTAAACAAGCAAGGCAGAGTTAAAGCTCTCTCACAAGCTCAGCTTGCATGTATAAAATTTGACGTTGTACTTGGTCATTTAGTTCGATCTTTATTATGGTATAGATGTCTGGTCAGGTAATCATCTCTCCCCCCCCAAACATCAACAACACACACACATTTAACTTTTTCGGGAAGATCCAGGTTTCTGTCACTCATTAAAAACTATTCCTTTTGGTCCCTTTATGGTCCTTGCCTGACTGATGGCCATTCTTTATCAAGCAAATAATGGCTGCCTCCTTTGCTAGTTACCAGTACCACTTAGCAATACACAAAGAAGGGAGTTATTACTAGAATCTATTGATTGCGAAGGTGAATATTGCGAGAGGAGTGAGGACAACAAAGCTACACTTCCATGGAATCCCTTCAATCATGTATATTAGTTTATTATGAATTCTTCTCCTGGGAAGGATATTCTCGCTTGATGTGAGGTTTTTTTGAGTACACAAAACAGACAAGTTATTTACTTAGGTCTTGATCCAAACAGTGCAGCATAGAAGGTATGCTAAAACCTATCACTTGAATGAGCTCAGTGGCTGAGTTGACAAAAATTATTGTGCTTGTGGATGCATTAGACTTGATTAGTTTATGCTTATGATAACTGGTGGAATATTGATGTTAGTCATGAAAAAGAGAGAGGAAAGGAATTTTTTTACAAGTTGTTGGTTTAAGTAGCGTAGTAAACTAATTGGTCTATATACAAGTCATGCGTTCCATGCCACTTCAATTAGAATGGGAAGCAAAAGTAGGAAAAAGCGCAGGGATTACAGTTTGCAATATAGCTATTAGGGTAATAAAGATGTAGGCCCAATATACTGCTAAATATATAGGTCATGTTAAGGTTTAAAGGCTGAATCAATTTAACCCAAATTGAACTCTTTAGTATTTATGTCATGTTAACGTGAATACAGCAAAATAAAAGATACATAGCGAAAAAAAATAGGGGTGCATTGACAAGAGTTTATGTATATTGTTCCTTATTTTGATTTGAAGATCAGGAATTAATGGCTCAATGAATAAATAGTCTGAGGGGGTTTTCCAACCAGTTGTAGTTTATTGGGTTTGTAGTAGACTGGTCTAACCAAGAAGAGTTGTATATTAAATGGGTTACGCGATGTTTTCTTCTCACCTTTTTAACAAATAGATCGTGTTAGATTTGAATATATTCACTTGATCAGTATTCAGTAGACAGGTCATATTTAGTTTGACCTCTTTAATTGAATAAGCTTATCTCTGCATGACACGAATAATCTGATACTCCTAATGGCAATTGGAAATCGGAAATGCTGGAACCAAATATGAAATGATAAACTTTGGAAAAAAATGGCCATTGGAAATTGTGAAGAGGGCAAATTATTTATATTCAATTAAGAAAGAGGAACCTTGGTAAAACAATTAGGTTAGCATATATAAGGTTATATGATGAATGGAGTTCACTTAGGAAATTACTATAAAAGCAGCATTGGAGAACCATCACATGACTTGGCCATTTGAATATGAATCTTTTGATTGGACTCCACGTGTATTACAGTATGAGTGCAATAAAGGTGTATTTGAATTTCTGCTTACTGTTTTCAGAAGTAGAAAGAAAATCACCCCCTTTGTTAAAGTGGCTGCATCGTTGTGAACAATTTGCATACTTGGAGCTTGGAAGCCCATTGTCATTCATGTATTCATCATTCTCACGATCTTTCTGACATTGTTTGAAAACCATAAAGAGCCACATGCATGTTCTTTTATGTAGGAATATACGATTGACAAGAGTCTCTTAGAAGTTGGTCAAGTACTCAGCCCAACAAGGCTGAGGTCCCGAGTACGATTTTACTCCCTTGAGGCCAATCTTGCAGGAATTCTCCCTAGATTAATATTTCCACGCAGATTGGAGCCTGCCATGTATAAAGAAAATGGTTTGACAAGAGTAGTAATATTTCCTCATCTTCAGTTTTATCGTCACCATATATCTTTTTGCATTCTACCGTTTTCTTAAGTGGCCTTATGAAGCTTCTTTATTAATCAATGCATTTGGTTTTCTTGTATATCTAGCTAAAGCCTTGGGCCAATTTTTAATTTTGAAAGAATTGACAGTCCTATTTTTTTTTGGTAGGTTTGACAGTTCTATTTTTACTGTATTTAGAAAAATCTGGGAGAAATGCAGGCTTGTGCATTTCTTTTTCTTTTTTCTTTATTTAATTTTTTATAGATCATTTACTATGGCTTGTAGTCTTGGAGATGTAACACAGATGACGACATCAAATAATAGCAAACGTTGAAGATGGATAACTTTTGGTTGTTTTCTGATACCATTTACATGCTTTATAATGCCTTGCAAGCATCAAAATGAGCTTAGAACTTGATGCGATCCTAGATAAATTAAGCAGTAAGCAGCATTATATGGATATGTTTAACACACTTCACATTACCCTGAATGCATCAAGTGAAAGCTGTGTTTTATGCAAATTTTCAACTTAATTTCTTGTTTGAAATGGGTCATATTAAAACAGTATGCTAACTTCTATTTGACATCATATGACAGAGCCATGCGGGTCTATTCAACCTCTGTATAGTTGTACTTGTTGCTGTAAACAGCAGACTTATCATTGAGAATCTAATGAAGGTTTGCTTCTTGCTCTAATTTCATGCAGATTCACGTTGTCATTTCATTTAAACATTTCTAGTGCGCATGACTACATTTGCATTTCTTATTACATCTTGGTACTAGTTCTTTCTGTTCTCAGTTACCGTTACATAGGCTTGTAAGATCTCAAATATTTTATAAAGGAAATTTCCAGGCGCTACAATTGTAGATGACACACTGTTGAATACTTTTGCAGTATGGCTGGTTAATTCAGACTGGTTTTTGGTTTAGTTCGAGATCGTTGAGGGATTGGCCCCTTCTAATGTGCTGGTAAGATTTCCTGATATTTTTTAATATATATTTTCTATTAGAAAAGGTTAGACTTCTTGATGCATGCTGCTTACATTATAAAACTCTATCTCTCTCTTACTTGTCAAAAAAAAAAAAAAACTCTATATCTCTCTCTTAGGGTAATGATCTAGTTCAACTTTTATTTTACGCCGAATATCTTTTATCTTCTGGTTTTAAATGCAGTCTTACGCTTCCGGTTTTCCCTTTTGCTGCTTTTGTTGTTGAAAAGTTGGTGCAACAGAAGTGTATATCTGAACCAGTAAGTAATCCAAATAAAACTCTTGTATTTGCTCCTTATTCATTGACAGAATCTATTTTATATATGTGATGGATTTGCCACTTCTCTTAATCTGGTTTTGATAATGTCAGCATTCCCTTTCATGTAATAGTAACTGCTATACGTCATACTTTTATGGAAAAATCCCTGCACAAAGTATACATATATAAAAAAAAATGGGGGGCTTGTTAAAACTTATAAATGGCTACACTTTCTCCATTCTCCCAGACCTTCCTAAGTATAGATCCATCCTTGATTAGTGATAATCAAAGTTCACATATTCTCCAGTGATTCTGTCTCATTGAGAGCATTGGTAGATATATAAAGGGAAACAAATTTATAGCTGTAGTCTGAGGTTGATGAAGTCATTGAGGGATAGAAGTCATTATGGTATTCAAACTATTGGTCTAATGTTTACCTATCACTTTTCATTGTCCACCAATAATGTATTTAGACCTGGATCTTTCATCGAACTGGAAAGGGACAGGGTTAAGGGTCTGTGGTTCAACCGTTGGGTTAGCCGAAGAACCATGATGTTGCAAGTATATGAATAGATTTTCCCCTCTCCCCCTCCTATGATATGAAAACATATACAGTCGATTCTAATATGTTTTATTTCCTAGAAAGATATCTTTTTCTTTTATTGTACAACACTAAAACCCAATTAAATCCAGGGAAAAAAATGGAACAACAAATTAATGTTGTCATGGATTATGAACGGTAGAAAGACTATGTACCTTTTTTATGGTTGTGTGGTAGGATGGACAGTACTTTTTTGGTAGATTTAGCAGGTGGACGCAAAATCAAGGAGTGCGAGTAGAAAGTACAAATAACAAAGCTTGACATGTGAATTTCTGAACAGAGTAGGTTTTTTTTTTTCCCCCCTTTGCATGCAAGCATAGGTCATGTTAAATTGAAGATTTTTTATTAATTATTTTATTTTGTTCTATTTTTATTATTACTATTTCTTTTTATTGGTATCATTAGAAAGTTATTCATAGCGAGCCTTCTCATTCGGTCGTTGCATAAGTTTCTTACGAGAAGTGTTGTAGTCAAAATGGATCAAGTGTGGTACCTTGCATGGGAGTGGTAGTTCATGGTATGATCATATGAGCTATTTTTTCCAGTTTCAATGAGAACGCGTGCAAATAAACGTTTGTTGGATTATATTTAGAATCTTATTGTGAATTAAAAAGGCTACAAATACCTACTTATGCCTCTGTAACTGTAGCTTTTTTAATTTTTTATCATCAACTTAATTTAGCTTTGGAGATTAGTATTACCTTGGCAGAGGGTACTTCGGATTTTGGATTCTGAACCCTGTGTACAATTGCGGTTTCTATGATTGTTTATTATGGCATATTAATTTTTACTCCCATGACAATAGGTTAATAGTTTCTTTTTTTTTTTGATAAGTACAATAAGTTAATAGTTTCTTGCCTTGAAACCCTATAAAAGTTCATCTTTAATCTAATCTTGCAGGTTGTTGTCGGTCTTCACATATTAATAACTACTGCAGCAGTGTTGTTTCCAGTTTTAATGATTCTCAGGTTAGTTTTTCCAATTTTTTCATTGTGAATTTTTCATCATAAGTGTGATTATATTTTCACTTTTCACTAAGAGAAAAAGGAAATATTTTTTAGTCAGGGATCTGTTGCATTTGGGATAAATAGAAAATGTAAAGAAACCAAGTAATTAGCTTGATACCCAGCTTTATTGTGACCCAAAATGTTTTAAAGTAATTTTTAGTCGAGAACACTGATAAAGATATGCTAATCAAATTAAGTAACGAGATGGGGAATTTGTCAAAAAATATGAAATTATAAGAATTATATATTGGAGTGATGGGTGAAACTTGTACGTTTCCAAATAATACGATTCAAAGTTCACTCACTTGAAATTGTGCAGGTTTGATTCTGCCGTTCTATCTGGCGTCACATTAATGCTCTTTGCTTGTATTGTGTGGTTAAAGTTGGTGTCTTATGCACATACAAATTATGATATGAGAGCACTTGCGAAGTCACTGGATAAGGTAATCATGCGAAGTCTTACCCTTTATATTACAGCTATAAAGGAAAAGTTGGCAGTGATACTCAGTTAATTATATAATGGGAATAATATGTCTGATTCTTGTTAGTGGTGAAGTTGAAGTTTTGTAAGTGTACTGGACCTTGTGCAATGTTTGAATATCTCAACTTTTGTTCATTTATTTGAGTGTTTCTTTGCACTATTTTTTATCCTTAAGGTTGTCCCTTACTGATCTTTTTCTTTTTTTCTTTTCTTTTCTAGGATTGGTTGGATCTCCTTTCCACCAACCTCAATAATTCATTTTCTTCTACAATCTGTTTTCTTTTTCCATTTCGAAGTTTCTGCCTTAATTTGATTGATGGGATGATGTGTAAATGATTATTATATCCTTATTTGATTATATTTTTGTTGCGATGTTAGGGTGAAGTCTTGTCTATTTCATCGAACATTGATTGCTCTTTCAATGTTAGCTTCGAGAGTTTGGTATACTTCATGGTTGCTCCCACACTATGTTACCAGGTATGCACACTCCAATATTCCACAAATTATAACACTTGAGAAAAAATTTATGCATTCGTGAATGTTTATAATTCATAGAGACATTGTTAGAGGTTGATTAACTTTCTGTTCAAAGGTTCACGAGAATCATGTATATGTTGCAGCAAGTCTGAAAATTCTTATGAAAGAAAGTTAGCGATGATTCAGCTACTTGAGATTACAAAAAATAAGTGTCAATGCATCATTATTGATAAATTGCAGATATCCTGTGAAAGAGTATTGGTAATAATATTTAACAGATGCCTCTCTGATCTCTAAAGAACGTTGCCCTTCCTTGCAAATAGATTTTGTATACTGGGAATAATAAAATTTCTATATATATATATATTTTTTATTTTTGGAATTACAAAACCCAACCTCTTCCACCTGCTATTTTTTTGGCTTCTACTCCTTATGTTTAACCTAGGAGCTTCGTAATCTTCTTACTTTCCAATGAGAACTTTCAACTTTCCTTATTGAAAAATTGTGGACCACTGGACCTCGCTAGCATCTCTTACCATGGCTTTAACACCCTTACACAATGACCGAGTTCGAGTTTCTTTAGTTATTGATCCTTTTCCTTTTGATTCTTCAAGGATCTGTTTTGATATTATTCTAGTTCCTAAACTTCCTATTCTTCAATTACGTTAGTTTCATCTTCTATGTTGCTGCTTCTAATATATTATTACTAATAATTCTATTTTCTTCTTTTTAAATTCCGTCATCTAGTCCTTGGGTTTTTAGTCTCCTTTCTCTAAAGTGTAGAGTTACTAGTTTGGCATCTTCTTTGGAACTTTAGGAGGTTTCATGTGCATCTGTGGCCACCCGAGAGGTTGGACTGTTTTCTACATGTTTTAACCGTGTTCTGGTTTGATTACTTGTTTGTAAATGATTAGTTGTATCATTGTACCTGGAGCTGTATTTTGGTTGAACTTTATTTCTCAATTTTAGTAGTGTGGCTTTTTACCTCTTCCATGTCTACAAACTCTGTGTGTGTGTGTGTGTGGTTAGAGCTCAATATATTTCTTAATATTTGCTTTTTATGTGTCCTTATATTTTATACTGAGTATTTGATTCCATTGCGCTTGTCTCCTAGTCATTGAATTTTCTACGTTGTCTTAATATTGAGACTTCCTTTTGTAGCCAAGCTATCCCCGTACTTCATGTGTTAGAAAAGGTTGGGTGGCTCGTCAACTCGTCAAGTTGGTAATATTTACAGGTGTAATGGGATTTATTGTTGAACAGGTAAGTTCCTTTTCATATTATAAAATTGGCATACAATTTGTTTATTTTTTAGACAATTGACAGGTATAATCTAACATGGTTTAGATGGTATCATCATGCAGTACATTAATCCAATTGTAAAGAATTCACAACATCCACTGAAAGGGAACCTTTTATATGCTATTGAGAGGGTTTTGAAGCTTTCTGTTCCAAATTTATATGTCTGGCTTTGCATGTTCTACTGCTTTTTCCATCTTTGGTATGTCGCTTTTCTTGATTTAGTGAAATACAATTTTCTTTTTTTCTGGATTTGTTTTTATCTCTCTGTTGTCTAGAATTTCTTCTAAATTAACAGAGTAAAATCGTAAAAATTGTCAAAGCAGTTGTGTCATGACTATACATCCGATATGTTAATCACTTTGTGGTGGAAACTTGTTCCATTTAGCAACCATTGTTATGGGTGTCAATATATTTTCATTTATATTGGGCTTGTCAATCTAAATATATTAAAACATGGAACTAGTCCAAATATGGGAATTAGTATATCTACAAAAAGAAGTGATGAATAGTTTCCGATTGCTGATTCATCATGAAGAAATACTAAAGGTCAACAATTTTCTAATATCAGTGCTTGATCTTCCATGAGAGAGAGAGAGAGAGGAAATTGTTGTGCACAAACCACAAGAATATATTGCTGTGCACATACACAGGAAACTGCGCAGATCCCAAAAGTGCATAATTTCAACTCCAAAAATGACTTCTCAAGTCGTGGAATGCATTTGTTAATTACCTAAACCAGTAGGTCCTTGAGCGGATCCCACGTTACCCCCAAGATGTTGGTCTCTAACTAGATAAGTAAATGCTTGAGCTCGAGGTAGCAAGAAATGATGCAAGACAAATGCTTAAACAAAAAAAAAAAAAAAAAAATTGGGGAGTTTTGTAGTGAATGGAATTAAGAATCGGTCCACATTTTCATTTTTACTCCATTCAATAACCACCTTTATTTGGAAGTTTTTCACCTTTGATCTGCTAGGGTTCTTCCCTGGAGCTTAATCATATGCCAGGAATCAGATTTGAACTGGTGGCATGAGGATTTATGTGTTCCAAGGGCTAGCCCAGTGCACGAGGCTCTTGCTATTGTGGGTCTGAGGAGGGTAAGATGTACACAGGCTACCTCAACATGGAGAGACGTTGTTTCTTGTTTCAAACTAGTGACCTTTAGGTCACAATGGAACAACCTTACCTCATTGAATGTGTGGCCCTTGGTCATGTTGAAAGGCCAAATAATTGTGCAAAGGCTCTGTTGAAAATTTGAATAGAATATTTATAGATGTTACTCTTTGTTAGAGAATTTTCTTAGGTACGATATAAATGATAAGGCTTCCATTATCCATATCTATATGATGCTTGCCTGTTTAAACAAAATCAAGGTTTTATCAACTATATTGACTTCTGTTGTTTTATTACAACGCTCTGGTCTTACTTGCATTTCGGTTTTACAAGCATAGGTTAAATATACTAGCTGAACTTCTTTGTTTCGGTGATCGTGAGTTCTACAAAGATTGGTGGAATGCAAAAACAGTAGAGGAGGTATACTTTATATGCTGTGAGACGCTTATGTTTTTATGTTGTCCAACCATTCATTCTTAATCGGACTTATGGATTATCTGTGGTTGTTGCATGTATTGCCTGGTTTGGCTGGCCGTCATCAGTATTGGAGAATGTGGAATATGGTATATCCTTCGACCCAAATTTTGCTTTCCTTTGCGACTGTCTATGTTGCATGTGTTGGTTTTGTAGTTCGGTGACGAATGAAGATTATAGGATTTGGATTATATGAAAATGATGAACCACAACTCTCTCTCTCTCTCCCTCTCTCTTTCTCTCTCTCTCTCTCACACACACAGAGACATTGTATGTAAAATGAGCTTTTCTAAGATTGTCCTTTTGTATCCAGTAATAATGTGGCTGAAATTATGATTGTACTTCAAATTTTAAATCCCACTTCTGAAAATTAGTAGAAAAAAGAGAGGAGAGAATTGGTTTATCTTCAAGTGCATTACTAATTAGAATTATTATTGATTACAGCCTGTTCATAAATGGATGGTCCGCCATATTTATTTTCCGTGTTTACGACACGGCATACCTAAGGTAATTGACATCTCTTCTCAGAATTCTAGCAGTCAATGATCATCCTTGCTTTTTATTTGATAATATTTCAATTATGCAGCTAGTGCAAATTGATTTTGCAAGTTTACTATTGTTATTGGTCAAAATAATAGAAAGTTACAAAAAGTAGAACATCTAGTTTCAACTTGTTTGCTGGTTTTCTTCAAACTTAATGATGTGATAGAGTTAGAATCACACATCAATGAATTTTTTTAGAGTTATTTTTCCTTGTACCTTATATGTTGACGCCCACTCATGCCACTCATGCTCATTTGAGCATGCTTCTCAGGTGTGATAAGGAATCGTAGTAAGTCTTTCAATCAGATTCATAATTGAATGTATTGCTTATCTTATAGGAAACTCACACAGTTTATATCACTCTTATCTGGAATGAACCTTACTACTCTTTATTAGCAATTGAAAGGGAAAAATTAGGATAAATGGCTAATGAAGTGGACAAATTACACCTGGAAAATCAATAATCATAGATAAATTGTAGAGCTGCTTTGAAGTTTTCTAAACAACAAAAACCCTTTGATGAAACTCAGGAATAAAAAGATTTGGCATGAAGTAGAAAATGGCGAAAGATAAGGACGAATTACCCCTAAAATATCTCAATGATTATATGTGGATCTAAATTGAAGTTTCCTAAAATGAACACAACCCTGGAATGGAGGTACTGTGATTTGAAAGTAGCCTCTTTGGCCCTGGTTGTGCACATTTATCATATGTGTTACCTTTTTTTTTTTTGGTTATTATTAATATTTATCATGTGATCCTTTTATATTCTATTATATCTTTCTTTTTTCAATTTGTTCTCTAAGCATACATATTTTGAACTGATTAAGATAATCTACAGTTGTCGTATCATTGATCAGGAAATTAACATACAGATGTTAAATTTATGACTGAACAAACCACCAAAGCGGATAAGTTACTTGTTTGTTGTAACTCATGAGCCTTCTATATGCAAAGTATAACTTTAGAGAAGAAAAAAAAAAAAAAATCTGTCTGTATTCTGATTCAATCAATTCTTTGTATGAAATTGGTGTTAGGTCCTTGTTTGCAGTTTTTGTGAAGTTTTGACTTTTGTTTATTTATATATTTATACGGTTTACTGTTGATTCAGGGAATTGCTGTTTTAATTGCCTTTCTTGTGTCTGCCATTTTTCACGAGGTATGATTTCATCTATCTTATGTATATGAGGTAAAAATTTCATATTATGCAACAAATAGAGTTATGTTTTACTATGTTACCTGGACCTGCGTACATGTGTCGGGTACATGTATGTATCCACGCGTCAATGTGGCAAATTCTCAAATAGGACACATGGGCACCACTAAATATTCATATTGTTTAATATTTTCATTTTATTTTCAAGATTAAATAATGTCTTTATATAACATAGTGTCTAATGTGAGTATTTCACTCGTTTTGAAGCAATAATATAATAAAATTGAATTATTGGTTATGTTTTTTAGGTGCATGTCCAACCAAAAGTGTCGGACGCATATCCCATACCCATACCCATGTTCAAGTATTGTGTGTACGACACAGGTACTTCACGTACTTTGAAGAGTCCATGTAACATAGATGTTCAAGCAACTCATAAGTATCACAGCTACATCGTATACTTGTAGGCGATTGGATCACAATAACTTAATACGAAATATGCCGCAGAGTACTCACTGTAGATTTTGTATTAGCTTAGTTAGCCTTTGATTGATCAGTGCTCACTGTGCAAAATCTTCAAATTCTGATGGATACAGTTGAGTTTCATGAAATCCAGCAGTCACAATATAATATCCATTTGGGAAAATTTATAGTAGAAAATTAGAAATGTTGATTTCTCTAATTTTATACTTTTATCTTCAGTCCTCAATGCATTCAACATAATTACCATTATTAAAACGCGAGCTGTATCAATGTATAAGAACATTGTGAAGTCAAACCAGCTCTTTACTTTCATTATATCAATCTCAAACTACAATTATTTTTTACCTTCTCTTTTCATCCCCCCCTCCCGGTTGATATGTCTTTGTAAACTGAGGGTTAATTCGCCAAGCATTAGTGATTGTTAACGAGATAATAAATGTAAGTCTAATAAATGCGTGTTCTTAAAAGATATTTTAAACACGCGTTTTGTTAAGTTTGTTGTAATATTTAATTAAGTTATTAATGATTATTGTAATCTCAATCTAATTATTATCAAATGTTTTTCTTTGCTCGTGAGCATTTGGCATTTCTTTCTTCATATCTTGTACTTGTATGTGACATACCATCTATCACAGTCTCCTAAAGTTCCAATAAAGGAAATTTGGATCTTGCTGTTAAGGTTCTCAGTTTTCTGAAATTACTTTGGTACATTGTATCAAAATTTTGTTTTCTGTGTCAGTATCATTGTTTTTTTTTAGATCTTGACATGATGGTTGCTATCAATATCTTCTCTTTCACTGATCAAGGTAGCGACGAATCTTGAACAGCATTGTAGCATTAAAAATATATAAAAAAATAGAAACAACAATTCGTTATAACTGGCAATTCAACAACTGGGTGTTGTCTGTCCTCTGCACTGCAAACACATCCTGGATATCTGGAGTGATCTTGATGGTTTTTTGAGGTCACAGCAAATACATGAGGAGCCCATCTATAAGAGTTTCTAACCTGTACTGGTGCTTATGGCAGCAGTTCCAATGCTAATTCCTTTTACAATCTCTGATGGCTCTTTGCTTAGTCATTTAAATAACTTAATTGACCAGAAGAAACGGGATATTGATGATACTTGGTATTTGTTCTGTTACCATCCCATAGTAGAAAGATCCAAAAGATGTATAAAATGAATTCATAACTATATCCCTGCACTGTGTCTATTCAAGCTGAGGCTATAAACAAAGGCACTTTAAGTTCAGAGTGAATTTTTCTTAGTTGTTACACCTATCTTGAGTAGATGAATAAATATTGTCCTTTATACCTTTGTAGTTATGTACATTAATTGCACATAGACCTTGATGTTTAAGTGTTGCTTTTGGTACACTTTCTGCAGCTATGTATTGCTGTTCCCTGCCACATATTCAAGTTTTGGGCTTTTTTTGGAATTATGTTTCAGGTAATGTGCATCTGTTTTCTTATTTCAGTTTCATCTTCACCACCCTTGTATTAAGATGATAATAAAAAATAAAAAAGTAGTAGTTTTTCTTTATGAGCTTGTGACATATGAAAATTGTCATAACTACCTCTTTCATGGGATGTCACTACTTTTCTGTGTGCTATTCATTATAATCCATGAAAAAGTACAAAATGATGTTTATTAATTGTCGTTTGTACTCGGGTCTACATCAGTTTATGGGCATCGTTGTGTTTCTTGGATCAGGTACCTTTGGTCATGGTCACAAAGTACCTGCAAGATAAGTTCAGGAATTCAATGGTACGTCTTTCTTTCCAGCAATTTCCAGCAATTTCGGGGAAGCTTTTTTTAGCTTGTCCATTTTGTCAGCATGCGACTTCTGATCTTTCATGAATTTCAATTAAATTCTATATGAGACATAATAATGCATGTTGTGCTAAGAATCTGACTACCTGAGGCCTTAGAAACATGCTATTTGCAAAGTAGGGTACAGTATAATAACTGAACCCATGAGCTGTTCAGTTGCCGATATTATTTTTTTAACGACTGTACCTTAGCTGGGGAATAATTTTAGAATTACACCAACTGCGTCAATCTTTTCTGATCATAATGTGAGTGGGTATGAAATTTTCATCAGATTGAGCGAATATCATTTGTGTGCAGAAAAGTTGTCACTACTTTCTGATTATGATACGTCCAAATATATTAAGAGAGAGATCTGATAAAGAGCCTGGTCTGGATTGCCATACGATGCACTAGCTAGTTATATTCTGTTATTCTAGAAGAAATCTTGAGAAAGAATCCCTGTACTTTAAATTTTTATGTGAATGACCAGCTTGAGAACTTGTAGCTATTTCCTTGTCCAAGAATTTCCTCAAAGAAAACCGTAGTGCTTGCTTCTGCAATGAGACAGTTTTGTATAGGAGAGGAGAGGAGACTTGTACCGGAATTATGCGTACATTATTAGCTTTACTTCATCTTTTAATTTCTCTCCCCAAACTAATATTATTATTTTAACTTTTTGCTTTTCAATATGCACCGTTAGTTCCATCCATTGCTTATCGAATACTTATGATGCCATTGTTTAGTTTGGGAGCTATAAGTTAATTTTAATTTTTTTTTTTAAATGCAGGTGGGCAATATGATATTTTGGTGCTTTTTCAGCATTCTTGGTCAACCCATGTGCCTTCTACTTTACTACCACGACTTGATGAATAGAAAAGTGAATACCCAATGAACTTTCTTTCGGAACCATGTATAGCCCAATGACCGATAAAAGTCTGAAATTCAGGTTTCGCAGAAAGTTTGTGCATGATCTCTCATGCAGAACAGAACAAATTCGATTCGTTTGCTGTCTAACAGTGCTGCAATGGTTGTACTCACATTCATCCAAGCCATGCCTCTTCCCAAGATGTTTTCATCATGGTCCACCATTGCCTTCCCATGTCTGAATCTTTAGGTTTAATTAAGGTATGGGCAATTTTGTTTCAAGTATGATGCACTCGCAGTAACCTGTGGCACAATTGTACTCGAATTTTACTTTCATTGCTAATTAACAGTGAAAGATTGTATATGACTCTTTTATTCTATTTGTTATGATATTTAATTATTTTGTTTCAGTTGTTGCTTTCTGTAAATTCACGAGCCTGACATCTCGAATCTAGGCTTAGCATCCATTAACAATAAAGATCACTTGAAATGAAACAGAGTAATGGTGGTTTAAATTACTGTTTAATTTGCCGATGCATCACCATTGTCATCTATTTCGAAACATTCACTTGCCTTGCTACGAATAAGAGTAACGGTCATTAAATTACTGTTTAATTTGCCAATAACCATTGTCATTTTTTTTGTTCATCTGATGTTTTGGATACTGGTGTTACATTGCAAAGTGGGGTGACCGATGAACCAGAAGTGCCAATAAAAGCTGAGCTATTTTTTAATTTCCAACTCAGAGTTTTGAGTCAAAACTCTTCAAAGTGCAACATAATGTTCCTGATGTAATGGCACACACAGATCTATGATTTTACAATATCTTAAAAAGGTAAATGGATTAATAATGAGCCCTACCTTCGTCGTCGAAACGGAGATTTTCAATGCCCTTGAGAGTGGATTCATAGTTCTTTATGGTAGAGTTATTCCTGCTAGACAACGTGCATTTAGCATTGGATGATCCACCAATGGGTGAACTATTATGCCCACTTGAGAGTTTATGTAATGTTCCTGGACCTGCCTGGATGGTGCGGGTGTAAGCAGGATCAAACTCATCTTCCATAAAGAACTGCAATAACCATTTGGGTATTAGATTTGAGATATAAATGACTACATTTTGAGGTAAGTTGTACCATCACATCCAGGATATAGATCATATTTAGAGAGAGAAGGAAAAACCTTGAAAACATTAGACCTCATGCTTTATAAAGAAAAGAAAAGGAAAGAAAACATTTCAACATATGCTGAAAGAAGATTTTCATGCTGTGAAAAACACCAAACGATTGGTATAATAAGCAATTGACACTGTTGCAATCCGAGCCATTGTACAAGTCTACTTTTAAGGTTAATACAACATTGCACATGACAATATGTTGTCGTAACATAAAGAAAATGTGAAATGCCTTCAATTCTGTGAAGGAAAGTAATAATAACCTAAAAAAAGGAAGGGCCTACAATACATGACACAAGCTATAGTAGTGGAAGTAGGAACCATTTGGCAATACAAAAAGAAATCAGTGAACTAGAAAAGCCCCCAAACGATTGGTATAATATGCAATTGACAGTGTTTGGCATACCCAGCCGTTGTACAAGTCTGCTTTTAAGGTTAATACAACATTGCACATGACAATATGTTGTCATAACATAAAGAAAATGCAAAATGCCTTCAATTCTGTTAAGGTAAGTAATAATAACCTAAAAAAAAGGCGGGCCTACAATACATGACACGAGCTATAGTAGTGGAAGTAGGAACCATTTGGCAATACAAAAAGAAATCAGTGAACTACAAAAGCCCTACATCATATAAACATGATCCGAACAACTTACCAAGGAATCTCTGATGGCAGCTGAATCATTTGCAACTGGACTCTTCTGCTTGGCTAAACTTCCAACATCCGTAGCTTGTCCATATATTCTCTGACCAGAAGAATCCACTGAAGAAAAACCAGCTGGTCTACCTCCTTCCTCACCTATAATAATGATGAAACCCCGAAGCAGATGTAAAAGGAAATAATCTATTAGAGAAATGAGAAGCAAATTGGAACCAGAAAATCGGATTCTGGCAGAGTTAAAAAGGCCAATATGAAATAAACAAAAAACAGCATGTTCGGAATAATATGGAGAAAAGGATCCGAGAAAGAAAATAGATTTGATGCCTTAAAGCAACTCAAAAATAGGCAAAACTGACAAGAATCCTCTCACCGGGCCACCAAATGGCAGCCAACAGGATTGAATTTAAGGAGAACTTGTCCAGAAATTATGTTTTCCAAGCGGCAATGCAAAAAAATTACCTGGCTGCCAGTTAGAATTAGCATTGGCAGGGGGCAGACCAGAGCTTGTTCCAGCACCAGGGCCCTAAAAAATTAAGCATTATATAATTGCATCTACATTGCTAAAGACCAATAGAAGAAACTCATCATGTTGCACAACTTACAAGAGCCCGGGAAGGAGTGGTCATCTGTGCTTGCTGATACTTCAAAATAGTCCAATCGAAAACATAGTCAAACTGGAAGCCTACAACAGAATAAACAGGCAAAATGACAAGCTGGAGATTTAATGACAGTTAAATGTTGAAAAAGCTAAAAGATGTCATAAACATTCTATCTGTGAAGTTGATTGAATTCTAAGCACCTATTATAAAGCAAATGTATTTATACCTTCACGAATAAAGAGGTCACGAAATAATTTTTTCAGATAAGAATAATCCGGCTTATCATCAAACCGTAGGGAACGACAGTAATGGAAGTATGAAGCGAACTCTGAGGGATATCCCCGGCACAAGACCTGAGAAAGTAGTAAATTCAGCAGCCATGATTTAGAGAACTGAATGTACATGAGTTGCATTCACCTTCTTTAATATTTTATTGATTAAGAGAAATGATTTCACAAGACTTAATTATATTTAACCACTGTGTTTAGAAAAAGTTTACCTCTATAGGTGTGGAAACCTTCCTTTCACTAATTTTCTCATACTTCTGTTTCTTAGTTCTGGCTTTCAATCCCTGCCAAGGAAGACTACAAATACAAGGGAGTCACAAAGCGTACTTCCAGCCAAGGGCAGTAATAATTTAAAAAGAAAGAGAATACAACCACCATTACCTTCCTGTTAAGAAGTACAGAAGGACATATCCAAGAGATTCTAAATCATCCCTCCTGCTTTGTTCTATGAAGTCCAAAAAGATCAGAGAGTAAAGTCAATATTCTGGCAAGAAAAGAGGACATTCAACTGTTAATTATGTACACTTAACTAAATCAGCATGCAAACAGAAAAATGGTAGACGAAACATACCAATGCCCAGGTGAGTGTTCATGCTTGCGTATCTTGCAGTTCCAGTCAAATTTTTGTTCTCTCTGCAGTTTTTATGACCATATACAACAAAAAACTATAAATACACAACAAAAACCATAAATATAAGCAATTGTACATATATAAATAATAAATGTAAGAAACGTTTAGAAAAAATATGTACAAATCTATTTGTGTTGTCTGTGTGGAGAGTTTTGACTTTTTTTTCTTCTCAGTTGTTGGGGTGTGGGAGTGGGGCCTTCCTCTTATTACTTGGTGAGATGACAATTCTTCACGAAGGAACTAGAATTCCAATAATGAAAAACCACATAACTGACTGACTTTTGAATTAGGATCTTCCAAACTCCCTAGTGATATTAATATCTTATTTTAATTTTTGAAAAAATATCTTATTTTCTTTCTTCAGTAAATCTGGCTATATTAATATCCCTATAAACATAATTTTATTATATGGAAAACTTCTAATTCCACCATCACTTCTAGCAGAAAATTGTTTCAACGCCTTTTATGGGTATTACCAATTTTGCAAGGGTGATAGCTGTGATTCATGTCCCCTTCAGCAGACGCATTTCGCGTCCAATTTCTTAATTTTATTTTAATAGTGTTAGTACCATCTTTTTACTTCTTGAATCTCACTCACCCACATCAAACACATTTTCTCCAATGCTTGTGTTTGTTTACATATAAAAGTGGAAACAATAAACCATCAAATAACACCAAAAGTTTGGGGCATGTACAATGGTTAATTACTTAAAGCCCTAATCTGTTTCTATTAATGCCAAGTGACATGCTAGCAATTAACTAACATCGTGGAACGCACAATAAGGAAAATGGACCACATATAAAAGTTCTGCAAAACAATGTACAAGAGTTTATTCAGTGCCGTTCCAAATAAACCAGAATGTTGCTCCAGCATATTTCAGAGGTAGTACAACACCTAGAAAAAACATCACTTGGGTGCATGCATGTGCGCATGAAAAGTGCATGGACGAACATGTTTTATGTAGCATCAAGAAAACAACCAACATCCAACTCACCTATAAGGAATGTGTTGGTGAGTTGTGGCGTCTCTATATTTCTTAGCTAGACCAAAGTCAATGATGTAGACCTGAATTAAAGTGAAATAAATAGTACCTTATTTATACAGATATCATAACTGGAATTCTAACAGACAACAAAGATGTGAAGTTTAGATGGAAAACCTGATTTGCACGCCTTCCCAAACCCATAAGAAAATTGTCTGGCTTGATATCTCGATGTAGGAATGATTTAGAATGGACAAATTCAATACGATTGATCTGAAAAAAAGAAGAAGAAAAGAAACATCATGGTTTGCATATATTGATAAATATAGAGAAGTGCATATGTCACAACATAATTCATTATATCCACAAACTTACCATTTGATCTGCAAGCATAAGAACCGTCTTTAAAGAAAATTTCCTACTGCAAAAACCAAATAAATCTTCAAGACTGGGTCCAAGCAAATCCATCACTAGAACATTATAGTCTCCCTCCACCCCATACCATCTCACATTTGGAATTCCAGCTGCAATAATTCAGAAGTGTTGCAATCAGCGAATGTGTCAGATATAATAGCAAAAGACTTCATAGCAGAATACATAGCAACAAAATAAAACAATTAAAGAGAAGAATATTACTTCCTCCCTGTAGAATTCTGTATAACTTTGATTCATAAAGCAACTGAGGATGCTTTGTCTTGACATTTTCCTAAGGATTAGATCAGTATCAGCATTGTATCCACCATAATGAATTGAGCACCAGTACAATGGAAAAATAATTTTGTAGTCTCAACAGAATATAGTCAAATTTGAAAATATTGCATTACAGGAATACATGGATAGGCATGTCAAAATAACCGGATTATGTTCTAAGAAGCAGAAGTTTTGCACATTGTATCAACTCCATACATCATCATATAGTTTGTCCATATAAAAACTAACTTTAGTTTAGCAGCCGGTAGTGATTTAGGTCCATCTGCAGAGCTGTTAATTCTGACTCTAGTAGTAGAGTAAATTCCATTACTTGCTATTCACCATTTTTTTATCGAAAAACTGGTGCAATTATAATTTATACATCAAAACTAACATCACAACTTCCCCTGCGGGACGCGGGGGGGGGGGGGGGGGGGGAATGACCCGGGGTGTAAATTGCCATTCTGCATAGAACAAGAATCAGAACTTGCATGCTGCATGCTCTATGTAAAACAATGGCCTTGTTGACAGCACGGGAGAAGGATCTGGCGCTCGAATACAGACACCTCCTTTAACTATAAAGTTTACAATAGAATGCACGAGCACGACACACTCAGGAAACTGCAGGGGAGAGTACGCCCACATTGTAAGGGGCATTTTCCAATAAAGTCTGTAACACATACTACTATATTTGATGGTTTTGTAACCTCAATGATTATTTTCCAATTTTCCAATATAACCATCAAAGTTCACTCCGTATCGAGCTCAACTGGTTCAAGTTTTGTTCCACTTCAATTACATTACACTAAGTAATTGTTCAGAAATCAAGAATTTAAGTGTGTCCAATTCACAATTCACAAAAATTGAACCTCTTCCAAAGCCAGACATTAATTTTCACAAAAATTGGTAACTCAACAGTTAATCATATCAACTAGGTAACGAAAAACAACAACTACAACATAAACACACACTACAAATAGAACAAAAGCATGAGAACATGAAGTTTTCAAACAATCACAAGAACAAATTCATCAAAATTTGTAAGAATAGTACACTCACAAGCTTAATTGCAACATCTTCGTTGCATGAGAACATGAAATTTTTAAACAATCACAAGAACAATAGAACAAGTTCATCAAAATTTGTAAGACTAATACACTCACAAGCTTAATTGCAACATCTTCATTCGCGTGGATATTAGTACCTGCAAACAAAGTCCACCGTCAATTCATACTGAACCAATAGAACAAAATTAACCCAAAAAATAAAAAATAAAAAATAAAAAAAGAAAAAATGTGAAGAGTGAATAAACCAAGAAAAATCTCTCCGAACGATCCACTGCCAATTTTCCGACCGAGCCGAAACTTGTTACCAATACGAGGCTCCATCAATACATAATCCTAGCTTCGAATTCAGACCCTAACTTCTCAAGGACAATACACAATTCAATGAAGAACAAGCCCTAGAACTGTAGAGATCTAAATCTGCGTAGTGTTAATTTCTAGAATAATGTTAGGTTGTGGAAGGTGAGAGAGTAAGTAACACGGAAGGAAGGAGCTCGTCACGGAGTAACTTTCTCTCTCTAAAACACACACTGACACACACTCTCTCTCTCTCTCTGTATAATACATCCATCTCTAGATTATAACGTATTTCATACCTCGAAGCTAAAAAGATTCGGAATTCTACGAGACACAATGTGTAACGTCTTGTTTTCGGCGTTGGTAGGAAAATGATTCTTGCGCATCGGTAGTTCACGTGACGGTACTTCTGAGGAGTTGAAGATTTTGGGCCGCAGCTGGGAATATGTACCAGCTCGTGAGTAATATAAAAAAAAATTAAAAAAAAAAGGAAAAAAAAAAAGAAGAAAAAAAAGTAAATCAGTTTTTACTGAAGTCATATTAGCGTATACATACAAAGTTTGTCACGTTAATTTAGTAAAAAAAAATAAAAGAAAGTAAGTTATTTTTTAGTGCATATATACAAAATCTATACATCCCAACTTTTTTCTTAATAACATCCTAATACTTTCCTAATACACGTCCCAATATTTTCTTAGAATACGGTCTACTCATCTATAACTCTTATTAGAAAAATGTTTGAACTTTGGTCTTGCATCAGAATATTTTTTTAACGTACAATCCAACTTTCTCCTTACTAGCATTCCAACATTTTTTTAACGTGTATCCCAAACAAGATAAAGTAATGAATAGTGTGATATTGGTAAAGAAAAAGTTGAGATGTTAGTAAGAAGAAAGTTGAGATGTAGGTAAGTCAGTTTTTAGTGTAAACATACAAAGTCTATACATCCCAATTTTTTCCTTAACAACATTCCAATATTGTCCAAATTTCTCCTTACTAGTATCCCAAAAATTTTCTAACGTACATTCCAAACAAGATAAAACAATAAATCGTGTGATGTTGGTAAGGAAAAAATTGGGATGTTGGTAAGGAAAAAGTTGAGATGTAACTTAGGTTAGGAAAATGTTGTGATATATAATTTATACTAAAATATGTTTATTTATGTATTTGTAGAATAAGTGGGATATTGGTAAGGAGAAAGTTATAATATAGGTTAGAAAAATATTGTGATATACAAGAAGTTGTAAGTTAGGTAAATGTTTGTGTAGAGAAAAAAAAGAGTAAAAAGTTGGTTTAGTTTTGATTTAGTCTCGTATGTACGTGTGTAATGTATATACAAAGGTTTTACTTTTTAAATTTTTAACTTTTTTGATTTTAATTCATTGACTATGACTGATCGTTGTGCAGGAGAGGATTTTCATCCGGCTATCAATTGGGCCCATGTCTCGCGTGACCTTTCTCCACCTGCCAATACCTTGAGTGTTTTTTTTTTTTTTGTTTTTTTGGTCAAGAAACCGTTTTATAACATATGAGTACGGATTTTCTGTCGTACGTTTTGTTTTTTTTTTTCTCAACATATAACCTATTAACAAATTAAATCTAATTCAACATAATTATTTTTAATTCAAAAATTACCATTAATGTTATTATTATTATTACTTTTATCTTAGGTTAAGAACACACCCACACACTTCACTTCCACACTTTTTGGTACACCGGAGTTTGGACTTTTTTCCTCTTTAAAGATGGAAATGTTATATCTATAAAAGTCTGTATTAACTGAATTTTTTTAAAAAAAATATTTGAAGAGTTGATAGAACCGCTTATTTCATTTTAGAAAACTATCAAAAAGTGGTGTTATTGTGCAATCCTTTCAATTTCAAGCTCTTAAAAGAGATGTGTATGCATGGGAATTTAAAAGAAAACGTGTTTGAAATAAGGAAAGATAACATAGAATTTGATTCCCGTATTCCGATTAAATTCACCAGATTTTTTTACTTGCAGGAGCTGCTGTCCAACAAAGCCCAAGTGGATACCATCATCTTTACACTGCTTTCTGGGTTCTAAAATTACATTTATTTAAATGAACAATCCAAGTTTCCAAAACCTGATTTTCCCTCTAGCCAAACAGAGTGTCACTTCATTTGAGAGGCACCAGGATCATCTCAAATAGTAACAGAGGACCTGTTTTGAAAGCCTCAACTTCGATAGTATGTCATTCAAAAACAAGAGAGAGATTTTATCTTGCGTTTGGAATTACCGAATTAATGACTTGTAATTGAAATGGAAATACACAATAAAAAGTATATATTTAAGTAATATCTATTTAAATCATATATGATGTTAAAATTTATTAATCAAAATGAGAAAGTAACTGTATAATGCAATTTTTTCACCAAAAAAACACTGTTTGGTTGACATTAGGCTTAACAAAAGAGTGGATACTATCAGCATTGTGAGTGGTTTTCACTTTGATCAAATGTGTACAGAACAGCATGGATTGGATTTACAAGAGATATATATATATCCAAACAACTCCTAAGCTACCAAACAGATAATAATTAGTAATATCATTTTCAAACTTTCTTTTATAATAATTCAAACTTATTAATTTAAAGGCACCAGAGATGATCCAAGCTAAATATCCTTTACAAAGCTTGCATAAATTCCACACTCTTAGCTGAAAATTGAACAACCCCATCAAAACTTCACATTTTCTCGAGAAAATAAACAAAAAAATACATCGGAATATATAAAAATGCAGAGAGAGTTAGGGTTGAAGCACATTTATGGGTTGAATAAATAGGAGCCACACTTGCATTTCCAACCCTCCGGCTCATAATTTGCATACTGGACTTTCAAATGGTGAGTTGTTGTGGGCACTTGAATGGCATTACATGGTTTGCATCCTCTGCATTTGTGCTCACAGTTTGGTGGCCTTGACCCAAGTGTGCTCAGCCCTTTAAATGCTTCCACAATCCTATTTACACTTTTCATGCTTTCATGTCCCTTTGAAATACAACAATCACACAATTAAACACAGTAATATATACCAAACAAAATCACTATCTAGAGACAGCGAGTGAAAAATACCTGTTTTGACTCCAAAACAGCTTCTTGGCAGTGTGAGATTTGGCCTGTGATTGATCAACCATGGAATGTTAGTACAATGGCAGTGACACATTCTGTAAAAGACCAAAAGCAGAAACAGGAAAGGTTTCAAGGGAAAGTTGGGGAAAACAGACATTGTGGGAATCAAATCGACGATGTATAACCAATGGGCATTAACACAGATAGTATGAGCTCTCCTTCCCAGAGGGAAGCCCGAGTGTTCAAGCTCTGCTAGGGCAATATTGTGGGTGTGTGCACGTTTGTTTGACTTTCGGAGAAATTTTATTATTATTTTGTAGATGTAAAGGTTAGAAGTAAGAATTCCTTACTGGAGGGAAAATGAGGTTGGACAAACATGATTTCCCAAGAGTATGGAGGATTTGGACAAATGGGTTGCTGTGGAGAGAGTCTCAGTAGAAAAGGAAAAGGGAATTTGAACATCTAACCTTGCTGATGAACACCATAATATGGTGGAAAAGGCCTGCTTGTTGCAGAAACCCAAGTCAGTAAATGCAGAATAGCTATTAGAAAAGAGCAAACTTTTCTCTTCATTTTTAACATGACACCAAATGATGATACCACGAGAGAGAGAGAGGTCTTTATATAGATGGATATGACAAATTAGTCCAAACTGGTACTAGTTGAATGAGTTGCCCCATTAGAGGTTTTTCATTTTGGCTACCTAGCCTAGACTGCAAATTATTATGATTTGGAAGTTAAAACACATTTAATTATAGTCGATTAGATACATATATGTAGTACTTAAGTGGTTCAATTCTTCACAGTTTGGTTGTTGGGGAACACACTGACTATTTGGACCACTCACTCTTATGGGTCAAAAGATGTCTAGTCTTAGTTATTGATAGTGATCAGTACAGGATGGTATTCAGGTGATTTTAATGACCACATTAATGAAAATAGAGAGTACTCAATTATCAACATTTCAGTTTTCTGAACAGTACCCCATCTTGATGGAACTCTCATGGGCAAGCTCCTTTAAAAGGGAAATCACTTTGACCATCTTAACAGACCAACTCTTGGAAACTTTGACAATTAGTTAAAATAGATTTGCAGATATGCACTAGTCTATGTATGTTTGTGTTAATAATCGTTTATCTTCACCTTGAGCACAAACCAGCATCCACATTGTTAAGAATGAAAGTTAGATCCTCTCATGTGCATAGGGATAGTCTAGTGCACAGCACAGGAGATGGGGGAGATAACTCTACAACAGATAGTGGGCGTGCCCGAAAAAGGATCTAGGTTCATTAAAAAGAACCCGATTTTATAGTACAACATGTGATTTAATGTAGCAGAAGACTAAAAAAGGTGGAGATCACTGTATAGATAGTGGGATCTACTCTGTCTGTCCAGTGTACGGAAGAGGATCCAAGTTCATTAAAAAGAACCCGATTTTTATGTAGTACAACATATGAAGATACTTTACAAGTAGTGGGATTTACTCTGCTTATCCAGTGTTCATTATAACATGTATTGTAATGTAGTAAAATGTTAGATTCTGAAAATGGTGGAGATCATCCTAAGGATAGTGGAATCTACTCTGTCTGTCCAGTGTACTAAACAGGATCCAAATTCATTAAAAAGAACTCGATTCTTCTACAATATAATTCGTATTATAATATCGTAAAACTGAAGGTTGGAATCAATTAACAAAGTATTTTGTGAATTGATCTCGGAGGTTTATAGCACTAAAAGGTTCCCAAATTCATTAAGAATGACCAAAAACATTTGTATGCATTTTCCTATCAACTAGGAGGGCTCAACAACTCTGCCCTATGAGAAAGGTGGTTGGTAGGGCTCTGCTTGCATAAGTTGGCCAAGGCAGTACAGGGCTTAGCCAAGTGTAGGGACCATGTCAGCATTGGTCATCAAGCAAAAAGAAGGTGAGGAAAAGGCCACTGTCATATAAAACAGGTCTACACACATCAAACAGACCCTATGGGTTAAAAACTCAATAAGGAGAACATCAAACCCAATGCCTCTGCTTGCCAAAGCTGACCAGGGTACCACTACCACCCACAAGCAAAAGGCCTATATTCAAAATACCCATTGAAAAAGCTTTTCAAAAAGAAAAACTAACCCGAATAATTAATGTAGAACAAAAGTGATTGTATATACAATGTATATATATATCAATGATCTTTTCTTTTCTGTTACACATGCTTACAAGCTAAAACTGCACCAACTAGCAAGAATGAAAATAGTTTGTGTGTGTGTGGAATGCAAGGGACTTTTAGTTTAGAAACTACTTAATAACTGTCACATTTATTTGAGATCTTGTAATGTTTCAATTTCACGTAGTTCGATGGTATAATTGGTACCCTGTCGCTGTGGCTATAATGCTTTGTAGATGACCAGCTAAATACTAAATATAAAAGAGATAGTCTTTTTCTCTCTCTTGCGTCTCATTGTTGTTTTCTCTCTCTCTAGCTGGGTATGCTACGAAGCAGGATCCATAATATGACGCATTATAGGGACTGTTCAACGAGGACACGAGGATTTTTGTGGGTAATTTTGCCCCAAATAACAAATTATTTGATAATAAGTATTGTTCATTGTTTTTTTTCATCTTTCAGAGTGTGCCTAAGAGAGCGTGTGATTGAGTGATTTGATGATTCACTGTGGTGGACTAGTCCAGTCTTCTGCATTACTATTTTTTTTTAGTATAAGTTATTGAGTGAATTAAAAGGAAATTAATTTTTGACTAAAAACAACTGATGAGCTACTTCAAATCATTTGTTATTGAGAAGGAGTAATATCATCATTTCACATGACATTTTCCCCTTTCCTCTTTCTTTCAAGAAGGTATTGGATGTGCTCGGTGGATTGTGTACCGCAGACTCATCCGAACGGTACGTGTTGTACACGTGTGGACACATGTTATGCACGTACAGCTCAAATGGTCGGACGTAGCCAATATTTATTCCTTCCTCTCACCCCCTCCTATCTTTTCACTCCTTTCATTTTCAAATGACAGAAAGAAACCTCCTCCTCCCTCCCCTCTCCTTCCTTCCAATTTTCCATTCTACCAAACATAAAATAAGCTGATAGAAATAACCAATACATCCCTGTAAAATCACAGTGAAATTGGTTGTCATTTGCTTTGGGATATCCTTTTAGAAAAAGATTTAACATATATAATTCACAATTACTCATAGCCAAGTTGATCAATGTAAAGAATCAATACTCAGGAAAAAGAATGAAGAATTTTTATTGCATTAAAAATTATTGTATGTAACTGTCAACAAGAAAGAATGAATAAAACCCTATCTCCAACAAAAAAGGAGCCAAAACGGGTACAATTTGATTCAAATGGATTTTGATGTAAAACCCAAAAAAAAATGAAAAATGAAAAAAAAAAAATGAAGAAATCGAGTTAGCTCCTCCATTATCCCCCTAATTGCTACAAAAGCCCATGTTAGGGCACCAGAACTGCCTTATGTTGATCCATTTGTGGCACAACCTACCCAAGTCAGAAGCCATTATCATTTGGTGAATTGGTTTAGTTAGCAGGAATAGGAGTTCTAGGACTAGGGAGTCCCATGTATGCAAGCCTGGGAGAGATCCGGACCTTTGGGCTGGGACGCGGAGAAGGGATTGGACCATAGTTGCCAAAGGGTGCAGGAGCAGTCCTAGGCGACAAGTTAACTTGTTCAAGTGCTCGGGATTGTAGCTCTGGTGGGTAGTCCCGGACACAACCAATGCGCGGTCCAGTTCCTGTAGTCCACTTGCATGATAGGCGTTTGGCTAAGTTAAACTCTGGTGCCACCACATTAGCATTATCAGTGCCCATATCTTCTTGACGATCAGTTGCAATTATTGTTTCCTTGGTTGGACCATCTACATTAGATGCAGTTGTATCTTCTGATCTTGCAGTTGTGACGACATTTGTTATTGTCTCCGCCTGTGATTCCTCATCAGAGACCTTAAATGAAGGCATATCATCATCAATTGCACACCTCTGATTGAAAAAGAAAAATGTTCATCAGCTATTTTGTCTAACACGCCATAACATTGTTTTTAGCATTTCAACTAATCCATACATATACATAAAATGTATACGCATATTGAATTGTATGCGCTCATTAATACATGTATACATATAACCACAAAGAGGAATTTACCTTGACATTTGTGAGATCTACGTGGTGTTCTTCGAGGAAGCTAATGAATTCCCTGAAGTTCTCTTCTGTTGGGTGATAGTGGCCACTGTATGGCCATATAGCCTGGAAAAAAAATAGGACGAAAGACATACTTAAAATCACATATAAACCCATGTTTTAGTCAATTATGATTTCGTAAGGATAGAACACAGATACACCATCGTGTATGTATTTTTACCTCAAGAACTCCACCATGAGCAACTAATCTTCCAGCCGCTGTTGTGGCTCCACCGGACAGAAAACTTGAATGCTGAAATGTACCTTTCTTCTTCTGTCCCACATACAAATTCCTCGATGTGCTTAAGACAAATATCCACTTAGAACCCTCTACGGTTTCCACCAACACACCACTTTCTCGGTACATAAGCTTCCCATTTTCAACAATTACTTCATATGTTTCCCTTTCTTTCTGAAATAAGACCAACAAATTTAGCAACATACATCAGATATACACATCATAATCATATAAGCAATATATGTAAGTTGACATATCTTCCGAAAAAATATATATAAGTTGACAGTGTGTTCGTAATTAGATAATGTAGCACTTACAGGTCCTAGATATTTGATGCATTGTCGCTGTAAATTGATCCTTGGGCATTTCGCAAGATTTAATTCTTTCCCATCACCAATGTCCAACCTGCATATTTCCAAAAACAAACTATTATAAGACAAAATTCATCAAATGGAAAGCTCTATATAAACATATTTATTCCCCACATTCCCTTTGGTTGCAAAGAAAGAGAAGCAATTAAAATGAACTTTTTGAATGTAACATTTTCCCCCCATTTGGTATATATCTAGACAAAATTTTGAAATACATTTTCTGATGCATCATGTGCACGTTAGAAAAGATGTAATCTATCAAATTTTCTTTCTTTTCCGATGCTCATCATTCCAAACATCATAATACAATTTCTAGTAGGAGTATTTTACCAGTAAAAGAAAGGTTGACTGCTTTCGCTTTTGAACCAAACATCATAATACAAGTGTAAATTGTGCCCATATCGATGGCGTGGATCAATCTGTAACAGAACACAGGAAAAAATTATGAGCAATAGATTATTGGCTCTCATGAAGCAAATATGATAACCCTCTGCTAAAATCCTGACACAGATGAGTTCTAACATTGACATTGACATAGAAATGGAGAATTATACCACATATATTCAATTGAAGGCTATGTTTGGAAGCAATTTAAGAGCATGCTTCTAATAAAACATCTAGTGTCAAATGGTACATCAAGTTTCCAAATAAATGTTTAAGGACTTACAGCTTCAAGCCAGTGTTGTAGGGCTAGTTTTTGAGCCTTCTCATCCTTGGACAACCCTTTCCCGACCCTAGCAGCCATCGTCCTTGCCCTAGCCCACCTTGAAACAGCAGTTTCCGGTTTCTCATCGTTGAAAAACGATACAGAGGTCCGCTTTAGAGCTGCAAAATCTAATGCTTTCCACCTACAACAATTGAAATAACAATTCACTCATTCATTGCAAAAGGAAACTTCAAAAAAAAAAAAAAAAAAAAAAAAAGGATACGATTCAATTCCATATAATCGAAAACTATCAAGCCACATACCAGAGCTCCTCAACCACAACAGCACAATCTGCAAGGTTTCTTCGAGTCCTGTAGCTCTTATAGACCTTCTGAAGCTTAACTGCAGCAGCATCGAGCTCACAAACCGGTCTTGGCGAAAACAATATTGCCGGCTCAGGAAGTAAATTTGTGGGCACTGATTTAAGAATCAACCCATCATTACTTTTATCCACATAATCCGAATGCGAAACTTTTATGTCTTGAACTAGATTCTTGAATGAAAGAGTTGTTTGGAGCATCACTCTGATGGGTTCGCAATGCAAGTTTATTGAATTTGCATTACTTCTCTTATCAGCCACATTTGACTTGGCAATGGTTTCTGAATCTGTTTTCTTAAAGCTATCAGTTCTCAAGGTCATCTGTTGTTTTTTAGAAGTCAAATTGATGTTGTAGACAAAACTGAAAAACTTTTGTTTCACAACTTCTTTCCAGGCTGATGAGAGCAAGGATAGTGACAAACCCATAAAATAAAACTATTCAATGTCTCAGAAAAAAAGCCTCCACCTGCAGATTATCATTACCAAATATATTTAAATTACAAATTGATACATACAGGCGTGAATAAAAAAAATTAAAAAAAATTGATAGAATTTATTAATTTTCTCAACCGAATCCAACAAAAGATGATCAATGGAATGTACCAATTACTAAGCAGCAATACACCCCCTTCTCCCAACACACACACAAGATGCATCTAATATATATATATATATTGACCACAAACATGGATCTCTCTCTCTCTCACACACACACATCAATAAATACATGCATATAATTTGATAGATTCCCAACCCAATTCAACAAAATATACTATAAATGAAATGGACTAATTACTAAGCAGCAATGTCCCCCAACAAACACACACACACACACTAGATGAAATGTGTTGAATTTTTAGCAATCACCTAAAACCACAAACATGGATCGTATAATGTAGAGAGATAATCGTGTCCCTTACCTCGATAAATTTTTTAAAAAGGTGCACTTTCTCTGTCTTTGCCAAACGAATTCTCTGTGTAAATACAACTTGAATGCTGAGTGTCTGACTGTGAAGACCTTCCCTCTATATATATATAAGTGTTTTTTTTTTTTTTTTTTGTTATAAATAAAAAAAAAAAAATTTGAAAAAAAAAAGGATATTAGTCTTTTCTTAACTCACAGACACGTATCAGACTTGGACTAGAAAATTTAGAAGAGTCTTTGGATTTATTTTGATATTTCTTGAATGAGAATGGAAAATTGTGGGTTTGATTCAAACTCTGAAATTTCAAGGAACCGAGTTCTTTAATCGATTCAAAGTTTGAAATTTTGAATTTCCATATGGAAAATAGCAAAAAGGTTTTATAGGGTTGTGTCCCCTGCCACCGGAGTACATGCCAGCGGCAAAGAGAGATATAGAGAGAGAGAGAGAAAAAAAAAACAAGGGTTAGAGAGAGAAAGAAGATGGGCGGTCAAAGAAAGTAAGCTTCAATGAAAAATCACAACTACCATTACTATCAAAAACTTTCCTCGTCACTCGGATTTGCTCTCTACAGGTCAACTACCTCTTAGTCGTGACTAGTGGTCGTGGACGCGCCTCATCAACGTAAGCGGGAGTTATTTCTACCCTTTTTTTCTGGTAATGTCCGATTACTATTTTACCCTTCTATATTTTCTAGTTTCTAATTTCGAAAAAAAAAAACAAACAGACAAACAAATGGTGAAGGTCATTCAATAAATATAATTAGCACCCGATGGGCAATGTAATTTAAGGCCATCTCATCAATATATATATATATATATATAATTTTCTTCGTTTTTTTTTTAGCAAATAATATTTAAGTCTCACACAATAAAAAATTAAAATCATCACCCATTCACTTTTTTTTTTTTTTTAACAAATAATTATAACAATCCTCTTGAAAAAATTTACATTTTGATCATCACACTTTAATTTTAAAAAGTTGAGGAAATATCACTGAATTAGAGTCGTTTCTAATATTATCTTTTGATTATACCATTTAGTTTTTAATTTTTTTTTAAAAAAAAATCGATAAACCTTTCTATAATGGAAAGCAAATATAACCTTCCTAATTCCTAATAGGAAAAATTATAAATAAGTATAGTTACGAGTCTTAAAATAATAAAATGATTTATTTTAAAAGTTATTTTTCCCTTTGCTTAAATTAAACAGATTAATTACAAATGCATCAAGGTCCCAATGCCCTTAAACTCTTATTCTTGAAAGGACAATATTTAACACATGTGAGGATGTACACCGTCTCACTGTTGATGTGTACCAATAATAATACGCGTCTTCTTTCATTACCAAATTAGAGATACTGTATGTACTCCAACATCTATGATTTGGTAAGTGAATATGTACCTCCACTATATTTGATTTTATAATTAAAAATAACATATCTATTTATTATTGATCTACATCTCACTGGTGAGGACCTTCTTCTCAAAATATCCTTCTTAAACTCATATAATTCCAAATTAACAATATATTTATTTAGTAAGTGTTTGATAAATAAGAGCTTTTAAGCAAAAACCAAAGCTTTCTATATTAAAAGCATCTCTAGCGATGTGTTATAAAATTATTTTGTATAAAATGTACATAATATATAAAAAAAATTTATTTTTCTCTTCAGCTGTATGTTAAGATACATTGTGAACTCAGGTCTTCATCAATGTGTAAAATTGTTATGTATTTTGCATAACTCTTCTATACAGTCACATTAGAATATTTTCTCTCTCCCCTTCTTTCTCATTTCATTAACGAATCAATCTTATTAAATAGGTTTTTAAAAATTATATGGTATTACGCATGACACGGGATTGGTTATTATTGACAAATATATATTTTTAAATAAATAGTCTAAAATTTTTATATATTAAATAGGCACACATGCATTTATATTAGTATTGGAATTCTGTGCTCCGTGGGATACGGATCGATTGTATTACATGTCACAGATCCCAACACGTGCAATGAATTTCAAACCGTGTGTGAGAACTCACACAAAATAAAAGTAAACCACCGGTATAAAATCAAGAATATTATTTGGGGGTTAATGACTCTATATCAATGTGCATAGATCAAAATCAACAAGGAGTGGTCAAATATCAGGAACAATGGATGTGTTTTTGATAAGATTGACTGACTATTAATTGAACTTGTCGGATTTTTCCATGCTTGCATATATATATATATATATATATATATATATATATATATATATACATATATATATAATTATGGACCTAACTACCAAATGACTTAGCCCATTCCAAGCCGCTGCTAGTACATGTACCCTAAAAATTGGTCAAAAACCAAAAATCATTCCAGCTTTTTAGATCTCCTTTGGCTGTTGGTAACCAATTATTAATTTGCATGTTGTTGATCAATGGTCAGTTCTCATAATTGGCTGCTATTGTAAGTTGATATATTTAAATACTATTTTTAATGGCATGTGAGGTTGGTCTCTTATCTTATTTTGATTATTTGACAATTGTTAAAGAAGATTTAAATTATTAGATGTGGACATGTTGTTGGTTGGTCGCTTCCTCTTTAAAATAAATAAGCGTTACCGACTCAAAATTAACTATTTACATAGATGCATGTCTGCATTGACTTGTTATTACGGATTTATTAAAATTTGTTATTGTTGATCGATAATCTAAAACTTGGGCTGAGGCAATTGCCGCCATTCATGGACGCACACGTTTTGTTTTTAGTAGTGGGATCCGTACGAGCATTTTATTTTAAGTTGATATAATTATCACGTGAGAATTAGTTTAGCAATATCTCCTCGTCTTTCAATGAGAATATAAAGTCAATAATTTTGGAGACGGAAATATATATATATATATATATATATATATATGTGTGTGTGTGTATGACGTATGTAGAGCGAGTTATTTTGTACACACAAATTTTATAATCTATAAATAAGAATAAAATATAAAATATTTTATTAATTTATAAAGATGGAGTACAATCCTTTCTAATAATATTTCAAAGAATAAGGTCCTCTGATTCGATTTCCTTTTTGGTTGGTTGGATCCAAGGACTGCACAAGTTTGATCTTGAATCATCGTGGAATTTGAATGAAGAACGACACATCTTTGAATGTGCTAGTTGTTGATCATCGTGAAAATTGATGAAGAACGACACGATTTGATGTACTTGGTGTTCTTCGCTTTTGAATTTGGATGTGGATGAGATTTCTCTCTGGAATTCTGGATTCGGGATCCTCTGGATTTCTGAATTTGTGTGTCTGAATTTCTGAACCCTTTGGATTTATGAGTCTCTAGATTTCTGAACCTCTGAATTCTGGATTTGATGTTCCTTTCTTTTTCCTTCAAGCCTCTTTTTATAGGCTTCTTGAATCCATAAAATGATGACACGTGTCATTTCCTAATAAGGATAAAATAATAACTGACTGGGCCGGTTATATTATGATAATTATCCTTAAAAATAATTATTCCAAATATATTTTATTGGGAATAATTATTTTTTTATTTAACCATCTGGGTTGGGCTAATTAAATAATTTAAGTGAATCAAGTTTGGACCAATTAAATAACTTAATTAAACATTAGGCCCATATTTAATGGGTCCATTTGTCAAAACCAAAGCCCACTAAAATTTTAGTGTCTACATATTTGATAGAATTTTTTATTAAAAAAAAGTGGATGTAAGAATTTAGTGTATAAGATAAATTTAAATAAAAAAGTGGATTTAAGAATTTAGTGTATAAGATAAATTACACTGATTTTTTTTTTTTTTTTTTTTTTTTTTTTTAAGATTTGGGCAACTTAAATAAAGTATATTGTTCAGCGTTTATCATTTTATCTTTGTTGAAATTTGGAGTGTATGCTCAAGGACACTCTTAATGTTTTCTTTTAAGAAGATCTGTTGACTAAATATTATAAAATGACAATTTTTACCATTCTCTTGTATAAAAATTAAGGTATTTTTAACTTTTCATACTTAAAGTTACCTTTTGGTAGTCACTGAAAGAATTTAGAAGAGGTCAAATTAAGTAATAAACACTAAACAATCTCTCATGTTCTAAGTCTAAAAACTACCGCAGCCACCTTCCACCACCACCACCATCACCGTTGTCACAACAACCACCACCACCAACTTCCACCACTGCCTTCACAGCTCTTTCCACCACCGCCATTGCCACCGACTTTCACCACCACCACTACCTTTCGCCACCGTTATTGCCACCACCACCACTTTCCTCCATCGTCACCGTTATTGCCACCATTGTCGCCGCCTTCCACCTACATCATCATCATCACCTTCTACCTACACCATCACCACCGGCTTCCCCCACCATTACCACCGCCGCCTTTCAACACCATCACCTACACTACTGCCGCCTTCCACTTTTACCGGCCACCACGATCCCGACATCCTCACTGCCATTTCTTTTTAAAAAAATTAAAGATGAATGTTATTTTCTTAATTTAATTAATTTGTCATCGAGATGAGTATTTAATTTGAAGAATTCAATTTAAAATTCATTACATTCTAATATTTAAATTGGTCAAACTACTAGAATGATTATTATCATTCCATTCATACATCATTTAATATTTGCAATCAAATAATAGAATGAAAGTAACTTTACCATTTCATTCTTATTCTCATTTCATTCCCATTTTCATATATTTCATTTCAATCGTACATACCAGACCCACAAGAGACATTAGTATAATTTAGCCTACTATACAACACCTCGTATAGCTTCATTCTTTATGTGAACATGTTAGCCTACTATACAACACCTCGTGTAGCTTCATTCGTTATGTGAACATGTTAGCCTACTATACAACACCTCGTGTAGCTTCATTCGTTATGTGAACATGTGTGTGTGTGTGTTTTTTTAATTCAGGGTGTGCAAAAGAATTAGCTCATTGAAGATGGAGTAGTATAGCACTACAGTTATTAGAAAACAGACATGTTTTGCATGTTGTGATAGTGTGATCACGTGACACGCAGTTCTGTTCTGTCTGCCCATAGTGGAGTAAAACTTTTAGTTTCTTTGTGTGTACATGTTTGTGCGTGTCTGTGTAAAATGAGATCAATTGACACAAAATAGTGG